TGGAGCATCCCGAGCGCGTGAGCGGCTTTGTGGCAGCGTGCCAGGGTGATATGGACTGATCAGGCAAGTTGCTCACCTTTTACTTTTGACATTCCTCCGTGTCCTCTCCAACAGACTATTCGTGGAAATGTCACGAATTCACTACACCGTTACCACTCCTTCCTCCGCTACACTCCTGCTACCTGAGCGGAAAAGACGTGAACGCCGGACGGTGAGTTTCTCACTAAATCTCAATGTCAGAAGCACGGCTCATCGTCGACCGTAGTTCCACCCAACACACTCGCTTTTTCGACATGGCCCACCTGCACAGACATTTGGGAATGGGCCATCCACCTGGGTGCGTTAGCTTTTCAAGCTGTCTCGATGTTTTTGCTCATTAGCCGTGGGATCCAGTGGGCTGCGCCCATCTTCCTCTCGCTCTCTCACTTCTCCTGATCTCGTGCCACCATCCCATGCTGCCTATGCCGGGGGCTCGCAGCTCTACATGCCATACGACTTCCACCCTGTCCTGTCGCCGAATCCGTCTCATCGTAATGAACACGGAGGTGGACTCGACCCGCATTTTCAGTCCCTCGAAGCTCGCTTTGCGCAACTGGAATTGCACCAACGGCAGTCGGAGAAAGAGATAAGGCAGCTTCGCGACCGTAACCGGGTACTGGAAGCACAGCTGGTGGCTGTCTCAGCCGTGCCAGCTGTGCCTGAGGCCTATATCAAAGACTCGGGCGACGATGCGGACACGGAGGTATGTCGTCCGTTCACTCAGAAGACAGCGCGTCTCACTCTTGACCCCGGCGCTTACGGTGCATGAACAGATTTCTCACCTCGAAACTCTGGCAACGGTTACTGCTACACGCTCGGGACGCATCCCCGCTACTGGGGCTAATGCGACCTCGGTTCCTGCTCTGTCACCTCCCGTTATGACTCAGTCCTCTGCGTCGGCCCAGGCAGCCAGCCCCCTTGCTAATCATACAAAGCCTGCGGCACTGCCCTCCTTGGGGCTTCCCTTCAAATTGCTTACCATTGGACAGCAGCAAGTGCGAAGACAGCTCACAGTACGTGCTCGATTGGTGGCAGACCTTGAGCTCAATCTCACCGACTTGCTAGTCTATGGTCAGCACGACCTTTCGATCGCTCTGCGGAGTCTCTGCAAAGACTCCTTGGCCCGACCCGTCCATTGAGCGTACAGATCCCATCACCAATGAGCACGTATTCACGCCGAACTTTCCTGGTGGACTAGCAGATCCATACAATATCAAGATCTTTGACGCTGTTGCCATGACAGTGTTAAAACAAATCCAGGTCTGTTTGCCCATTGCGTTCAATCATTTTCTGACAGAGGTAGGATCCCGCTCGTCGCCCAATTGATCTTGAAACCTGCGGAGCGAGGGTCGACTACAATGACCTCCGAGCCTTCGCCAAAGAGTCCTTCAAAGGTTTCAACAAGCACTACAAAGCCCAGATAGACGAGAAGGCTCAGCAGCGGATCAATCAGAGCAACGCCAAGGATCGTGAAACGCAGCGCCGTCGACTGGTGAGTTGGTCCTGCTGCTGGCTCTACCATTTCTCAATCCTTGCAGAAATTAAAGCAGCGACTCAGCGCTGCTGACAAGTATGCTGCTGCTCACAACCTCGACCGCGACGATGTTGCTGCGACACTTGACCTCGAGCACATGTCAGATGAGCCTTCAGGGCCCGAGGATTCAGACAAGGACAAGGGTGAATGGGCACTTGAAATGGCACATGCATCAGGAAGGCGGGACGCCACTCCACAGTCCATAGCAGACCTGACTTTCATCCAAGTTTGCGAGTTTGATTGGCGCACTGACGAGGTCTGTCATAAGTGTCTTTCATTTTGCCCATCCATATTAATAACGACAGGCCACAAACCTCAATCTCGAACTCAGTCAGATTCACGAGGATTCCCTCAGCAACTCTAACAGGGACAGGCGAAGACTCATTCGCGTCCGCAACACTGGTCGTCTCTCTACCCGATTCCCTGCCAAGGCGCCATTCAACTTTGCCATCCGAGCTGACTGGCTTGCTGAGAAAAAGAAGGACGAAGCAATGGTTGAGATGCTGGAGACTGCGGGATGGGGTGACTTTCCGGGCCCAAAGGGCTTTGATTGTGATTCAGACAACAATGGTGTTGACAATGGACTTACTAGTGATTGATTTGTGAACCCTTTCATATTGTGTTCTGGACATCCTCATTTATACCCTTACTTGTAGTGTCATGTCCACTAATAAAACTTGTTCTACTTTCTCTTATGACAAGTCTTCTACGTGTCCTCAAAGCCAGCTGCGATGGCTGGAGTGAGAAACTAGAGAGTGTCAATTAGTGCTGACAGCAGCTGTGTGTCACGTACACGATCAATTGTAGTTGTGATCCACATCGGAGGATCTGTATGTTGGGCAATACAGCGAGCAACCTGGCAATGAATATCGGACATTGGAATAATCGCCGGTGGGAAATTATCTGTTGGATTGACAAAAGCACCAAGTTCCCAAGTCTCTACCCCCAACTCGGGGCTGGAATGTCTGAGATGTGGGAATTATAGAAATAGCATTCAACTTACAAGTGATCCCACAGGCCAGTGTTATCAAGTGGACTGTACTTCGATGGTACCATCCAACGGACAGCTGCATATAACATATCATGCTTGGTGTTCACACCTGGCTGCCAGTGGCTGAACAAGTATAGCACCTCCCCTGCATGCGGAACATTGTCAAAATAGACCTGAATCAGAGAGGATCCTGTTGGACGGCCATGTAATGAGGAAGGAATGATCTTTTGACCAGAGAGGAAGGCATGCTGATAAGTCTGGATGAAAGTGTGGAGAGTTTCCGTGCCTTCCATGTCATGTGCGCCTAGATGTACTTGGGGTTGCTCCTTGTTATATAACCGGAGGAGTGCTTGCTTCAATCCACTATCCACAGCTTGGGCAGACTTTCTGACTGGCCCAACACGGACCTTTGTAGAGGCTAGACAAGTGCTTGCTAAGCAAGGGTCAATGATGTCTAGAAGATCATAGACTCACCAGCCTGAGAGGCATCTTGGATGGTTCCAAGTGGGCCAGTTGTCATATTTCCCAACAAAATTTGGATGAACTCTTCTTCAAGAGCAGAGTCTGTAGATTGAATTGATCTCTTCATCTGTGATATTGTTGAGATTGTTGAGTCATCCTTATTGAACATGGCACTTACAGCTGTTTCAAGTTGAACACCCCGTTGGAACTCTCGCATCATTGAGACTTCAAGTCTGCCACCAGTCCAGTTGTTACTGTTGAGATTCTTGAGCGTTTTGTTGAGTCTCTCTGTCAAGAATGCCCAGAACGAGTAGAATGGGCCAAAATCCTGAATTTGATCAAACATGTGGACTGCCCAATGATGGTTAGGTTTCATGGATTGGGAGCCATATAGCTGAAAAATTGAAGGGCTTTCAACAGGGCAAAAAATTGTAGAACTGAATGCACCTGAAGAAAACCAAGAAGATATTCCTCCAAAAGAGATTTTGCTCGTGGAATCATTTCTCTGTAGATTGAAGTCCCAATCATAATCTTGAGTGCTGTGGCAAAACACAAGAAATTATAATCTTCGCCCATTTGCATCCGTGGAACAGGGCGCTCAGGATGCTCAGGTGGATCACCTCGGGTGGCTCGGCTCCGCTTCTGCCACAAATGGTATTTTGTTTTGTAATCTTCTAACTTCTCCTCATATTTGCTGAATGCTTTCTTGTGATCCTTCTCTGCAGCTGAGCGGAATATGTCCCACACCAATGGTATCTGTAGACATGTCAAACCTCAGGCATATAGTAGAATGATGTTTCTCGCACTATGATTGCCCAAGGCGCTGTCACTGCAAATTTATACTCATCAGCAGTGAGTGAGCCACCTGAGGGCTCCCCAACTCGCAAAGGTAAATGTCCTGTCCAGGCTGGGCACTCAAACTAGTATGAATGTCAGAATATCCTGAAATTGTGTAATAAGTACATCACTCAGACCGTTTCTAGGATCTTGTGAACAAAACCGAGTTCGCGTTCTTGCTTATTGGTATCTGGCCGAAGAATTTTCTCCTTGATCCATATTGAATACCACTGAGTTTTTGCAACACCTATGGTATAATGTGATTTCCTGTGGTCATAAAAAATGTCAAGACTTACCCAGGAGGAGGTTATGCATGGGATCAATGACAGTACACCGGATGATGTCAAAGTATTTGAGACGAATGAATTCAGACCACCGAACTCCATAGTCGGTAAAGAAAGCATCTCTCTCTTCATCAGTCCCAAGCTCTTGATATTGCTCAGCTAGTCTGCGGTGTTCCTCATTTGTTCGCTTGGGATATCCTGTACAGCATATTGATCAATTGAAGAGAATTCCGCATTTGAATATGACACTGACGGTTCTCAAGCGACTTTACGGTGAACATGTCACCTTTTGAGACTTTGCACTTTGGACATGGTGCGCTCTTGTGCCCATGATCAGCAAACCCACAGATTTTGCACATTGCTGGGTGGTCCGCAATGATGGATACTAGTGCAACCTGTACACGAAATTCTGGAAGGATTATTTAGTATTGACACTCAAAGACAGAAGAGTCAGGTACTGTTTGGAAATCCTGGGACAGCTATGGTGATTCCATCTTCATAGAGTTTGATAAAGTCGTCAACAATAATTTTTGAATAATTCTGGAGTTGGGGTGATGTAGGTTCAGTGGGACCAGGGGGCATCCCAGTCAAAATCAGGTTCTCTGGACGATATCTTCAAAAAGCAGTGTATGAGTATTGTGCTTGGGTCAGCAAAAAGTTTCTACCTCAATTCTGAGGTCAAGTTCTGGATGCAGAAGCTAACAACCCCTGAAGAATGACTTGGACCATAGTTGCTGGATTTGCGACCAAACCTACATGTATATGTAGTTATGAGCACTGCATATATCATCACTCAGTTGCAAGTGAGCAAAATGACGCACCAGTCAATGCCTAACGAAACACCAAGCCGCAATTAATTTTCTTCCTCATTGTAGAAAAACCGTGATCCATTGGCAGCCTTGAGATTTTTCCACACTTCACCATCTTGAATTGTCTCAAGTTTCTTGTTGGATTCTGGTTTTGTCCTCCACTCTCGCACCGCATCCACCATTCCAGGCCGCATGAAAAATGTCTGCAAAGCATCTGAGAGCAGGAGCATTGGGGCAACAGCTTGGGCTTGGAAGCTTGAGTTCTGCGGATGAGAATTTGGATCCTCCTCTTCGAGGTTGTCTGTCGCAAGGAAGCGGTCGAGAAAAGTCTCAGAGCAAGAGCGATAGATTGCCACATCACAGTTGGGGCATTTAGAATTCCATGGGGAGACCTCCGCAAAAACGGAATGACAAAACAGGCAGATCGGATAGACTTTGAATTGATCATGGATTTTCAAGCGTGCAAATACTGTCTTGAGAGTTTGAGGAAGCTCCGCATCTCCAAGAATATTTCCCGGGAGAGCTGAGAAGACAAAGCGAATGGCCCACAGGAGTATCAAGATAGCGTAGAAAGAGACGTGATGTTGACAATGAAGCCATGCACAGAGAATCAGCACGCAACGGATGAGTGAGAACGCATCAAATTTCAACAATGGGGCTGATTCCGAGTCAGGGACCTCAGGGACCTCCTCGACTCGCCCGGTGATTGGTACTTCTTCTGCGATCTCCTCGACTGCCGGCAGCGCGCTCGAGGGTTCTGTACTAGCGGGAGGCTCGGATGCCTCCCCTCCGGTGCTTGCATCCGGAAACGACAATGATGTTTGATTCCCAGTCAGATTGGGCAAACCAGAGAAGTTACGGCGGCGGGTGCTCGATTGGCCCCGAACAGCCAGCGATTGGGCCAGGATGCGTTTCCCCGAGCTCATGATATCGAGGAGAGTCAAGATGTATCGCTCGTAAGCTGCCTCGTTGCTACCTCACTGTATAACCACGTTCCATCAAAACTGATCAGACCCTCCGTCCCCCCCAACCTTGCTCATGATCCCCGGAGTTCGGGGTAATTAGGAGCCTCAAATTGTTACCATTAGACAGTAAATAGCATCGCCCCGATAGTACTATACCCAAACTGACCAGGACGGACTGAGGTTGAGACAGAACGCTGAAGGATACCTACGTGGGAACTAGCAGGGGACTAGCCGTGAACGAGCAATGGCCGATCAGAGACCGATCACTATAGCCCCCGGTTATCCCACGGTAGACGCCAATAGTCCCCGTGTTGCCTACACGTATCGTCCCTTCATGGGGGCTATGGGGGACTATCAGTGACCTAGCCATCTAGCCCCCAAAGGGGACTATCAGGCCACGGAATGTAGTGAGTGGCGTTGTCTAGCATGTTCGCGTCCCTGTGTATGCGGATTCGAAGTGCATCTTCAAGTAGCGAGGTTTGTGTTGCGGCTTTTTGATGATGACGTTCACGGAGTTTCTTCCAGATATTGTTTGCGGATGTGATGGTGCCGTTGTCCCAGAGGTAAGCTCGTCAGGTGTCTGAGATATGCATTCTGATCCCAGCTTGCACCAGTTTGTTGTTCTTGACCCAGGTTGCTTTGTCAGCGTGTGCCGCTGGTGGTCTGGATACCAGGCCCTGCACGTAGTCGCTTATGCCAGTGTACATGAATGCATCTTCAGCCGCTTCTGCCCACGGCACATAGTTCTTTTTCTCGAAGTCAAGAATCGTCAACCCGCTGACTGGTTTTGCCTTGATGACCTCGAGTGGCATCTTGGTTCATGTTGTGTGTGGGGGACCGTTATTCGTGTGTCTTCCTGTGGCTCTCAGTTGCAGCTGCCCATAACCTGTTGGAACCTAGACACCGTATGTAAGGGCAACCTCGAGACCCGATCTCAGAGTTCTGGCAAGGGAGAATCCAAAGTGTCAATAGTGGTAGCTAGGTACAAGACCGGCATACCTGGCAAGGGAGAATCCAAAGAGAAACCGTGTTGGGGATTCTCCTTGCCAGGCGCCACTATTTATATGATACAAGAACAATAGAGCACGCAGCGACAAACAAAGAACAATGGGAACAATAAGTACAATGGCCATTGGAGAACAATAGGAAACCGAGACAGTGGGAACAATGGGACAGCTGACCATGTGCCCATCAGAGAGAAGCGCTTGGCGCAGCAGTCCGGGCCGCGGTGCGTGACAGCTGACAGGTCACGCGAGCGCGATCACATGCCTGATCGAAGGCAGAGCAGTCCAAAGCGGGGGTTCCCCTGACACTGTATAGGTATAGTACTCAGTACGTAGTGACGGTACTGTGGGTGAGACGTAAGTACCTAGACACTGTATAGGTATAGTACTACAGTGCATTATCAGTCCAGTCTCCTCAATAATAGCGTTTGTTGGGCTTACCTCAGTACGTAGTGACGGTACTGAGGAAAAAACCCTTTGCGTCCAGACGCTGCATCCATATGCCGGCGCCGGCCCCCACGAGCCTGTTTGACAGGTTCTGTCAAACTCCAGTTACGAGTGAAATCTGCGGTCACTCGCAACAGTTAGACATCCGATGGGGGTATAACAATGTCCGGATCAAGGAGGGCAATCAATGGAAGGCTGCATTCCGCACAAACCGGGGCCTATATGAACCCTTAGTCATGTTCTTTGGACTCACCAATTTGCCAGCAACGTTCCAGAACATGATGAATGACATACTGTGGGAACTGATCAAAAAGGGCCACGTGGTAGTTTACCTGGATGACATACTGATCTTCACAGAATACCTGGCTGAGCACCGGCAGATCACAAAGCGGTGATAGGCTGGCTACCAGACGCGCTCTGCACCAACTCTGTAAGGGCGTATTTTTGCGCTTTTTACAGAGTTTACTCTCGAACCACTCGGTGTATCGTGTCGCGGATGACAGTGTTGCACTCAGTAGGACTTAAGGGTCTACTGCCCAGTCGACAACTGTGGATAGTGTCGACGATAGCAAAGGCAGTCTGACCACTACTGTGGGACTGGTCTTATGACTCTCTACCAGGCTCAGGGCTATTAGTGACGAACGCTTGGACCGCGACAATTCCCCAAAAAGGGATCTTTGTTGCGGCGACTTCCCAAAAAAGGGGTCATTCTCTGCAGATGGGAACTTGGGCTGAAGGGCTGAGCAATGTGCGACGTTCTCAATAATACAACTACTACTGGACAGGACTTGGCGTTACAAGATTGAACCAATCTTGTCGCGGCAACTCCCGGTTTTGAGTTGGACGTTTCCTCAGATCATGCCACGACGACGACTTGTCACATGACAGGATCCATTTGATCACGGGACATTGTGGATGCGTTGCAGTGACACTTCTAAGTGTCACGGCGAGTCGCGCCCATACCCAAACACACTAAAATCGACACGGCTAGATCCGTGAACCGAGCCATGTGGGGAACGACTGGCATGCCTAGGGCCATATGGCTTCTTGGGGCGCCCATGTTGGTCTCACTTGCCAAGACATACCCGTCGGCCAATCCAGCACGTCGTATTCCAAAAGTATGACGCGGTGGGTTGACCCACATCAAAAGTATCATATGGACTATGGGGCGCGGTCCTGATCACTCAGGACCTGTCCGATCGTTCAACTTTTCAATTACCCTAAAAGGCAACCGATCTTAGATAGCGTAGCTACTATGCAGTTGTACAGGACTTTACTAAGCATCGTCGTAGACAGTATAAGTAGCACATCGTTTCTTTGTATTAGAAGCTTTCCCCCGGACTGTGAATCACTCTCACTTCAGATTGTTTTGTACAATTTGCGTGTCGCGTGATTCCACCCTAAGAAGTTCTGCTACCCCTGCCCGATCGCGACAAGTTGCTCCCTGAGCACTTGTAGCTACTGTGATTTGAGTTTGAGTTGAGATACCAGAAAAGTCGGATTCGCCGCATCTGGTTTAGTCGCGGCATTTAGTGTCGTCGCCCTTTGGGCTTTGTTGAGATCGTTCCACACCTCTAGCTTGGCAGTGCGTCGACTAGTTGTGCTCGGGTTGTTTTGGTCAGTTGGCAGTGCGTCGACTTCAGAACTTTGGTTCCACACTTCTTGCTTGGCAGTGCGTCGACAAGTTGTGCTCGGGTTTTGGACATTGGATATTGGCTGTTAGTTGGCAGTGCGTCGACGCGGCATTTTGGTTTACTAGTTGGCAGTGTGTCGACTCAGTACTTTTGGTTGTGTCAGTTGGCAGTGCGTCGACTCGACATTTGGGTTTACTAGTTGGCAGTGCGTCGACTCAGTATATTGGTTGTATCGGTTGGCAGTGCGTCGACTTGATATTTCGGCTGTGCGTCACCATCTAGACGCTGTCGCTACAAGGGATCTTAATACTCTGTATTAAGTTCTGACTTGTTATATTGTTGGTTGTGGATTGGATTAGTGTTGGTTGTGTTCGTATAGAAGATATTGGTTGAGACACCATTGTTTGCTATATATATATTCTTGTCGTCGACTTCGTCTTCCGCGACTATTGGATCTGCGTCTATTGAGAGTTGTGATACTGGTGCTCTGTCCGCCCCGAAGCCCTCGCATCTTTCACACACTGAGAAGCTGATTACGAGGAGTGTGAACATGTTTATATTTGGGTTTACTTTCATAGTAGATTCACCTGTGAGCACGCCCTCAGCATTTCAGCGTCTTACCAGGGTTTCTTCTGGTACCCTGCCCAAATCCAGTCCAACTACTCCAGAAACACAAGTTGTACCTAAAGCCCGAAAAATGCGAGTTCAAACACACGGAAATCGAGTACTTGGGTGTGATTATCGGACACAACTCGATGCGGATGGACCCTGTCAAGATCAAAGGAGTGATGGAATGGCCAGAACCGGGAAGCGTTAAACAAGTCCAAGCATTCCTGGGCTTCACGAACTTCTATCGGCATTTTGTTTGGGGATACGCGGAGGTGGCAAAACCGTTGACACGGCTGACAGGCAAGGCAGGATGGTCATGGGGTCCGAATGAGCATGCGGCATTTGATGGATTGAAGAAGAGAATCGCGGAGGACGCGGTCCTAGCACTACCAAATGACACCGGCCAATATTGTCTGGAAGCTGATGCTTTGGAAGGGGCAACAGGATCCATTTTGAGCCAAAAACAAGACAACATTTGGCGACCAATCGCGTTTATTTCACATGCATTGACTGAAACTGAGCGGAATTACAAGATCTATGACAAGGAAATGCTCGCAATCATGCTATCGCTAGACAAATGGAGGCAGTTACTACTAGGAGCCACAGAAACGTTTGAGATGTTCACCGATCATCAAAATCTCGAGTACTTCCGAAAACTGCAGAAGCTCAATCGACGGCAAGCACGATGGATCACGGAGCTGGCGGAGTTTGATTTCACGTTACGACACCGGCCCGGCGCACTCAACTGCAAGGCGGATCTCCTATCCCGACAAGCGGATCACGACCAGGGCAAGAATGACAACAAGGACGTCACCCTGCTGAAGCCTGAGTTCTTCCGATCGCAAGTCACATTTGAGGGGGACGATCAGCAGCTAGTTGATGAGATCAAAGCCGCTCGATCGATTGATGGAAGCGTCAAGGCGGCCTTGGAGAAGTCACTTGTCGGATGGAAGAAGGAAGAGGGGCTTATCATGTATCATGGGAAGCTCTATGTACCAAGAGACAAGGAGTTACGAGACAAGATCATCGGACTACACCACAACACCCCTTTCACACCGGGGGATCATTAAAAAAAGGTGCCCCAATCAAAGATTTATATTTTCAGTATTGTAGTACAAAAACTATGCTACAATAGGTTGCCCAATACTTTTAATATAATCTGCCATCATTGGTTACCTGTTGTATCAGCTATTGCATCCCAAAACGGGACCTACAATTGATTGCATATTAGGTCCAATCAAGACCACATTTTTTCTTGTCCTTTTTTGTAAGATATCAGGGCTCATTTATATCCAAGGTATGGTGTCATGATTTATTGGACTCGATCTCTCACAAAATGGGGTCTAGATCAATGGCTCAGATATCTGAGCTATTGCAGCCCAGGAACAGTCTGCCCAGTATTGGTGCACATTGCCACCGACTGATAGAAAAAAATTACCCCAATATCGGAGATATCTGGGTAGACTGTTCTTGGGCTGCAATAGCTCAGATATCTGAGCCATTGATCTAGACCCCTAAAAGTATTGGGCAACCTATTGTAGCATAGTTTTTGTACTACAATACTGAAAATATAAATCTTTGATTGGGGCACCTTTTTTTAATGATCCCCCGGTGTGTTTGGTCGGACATGCTGGGATCAACCGGGCACAGGAGATGGTAGAAAGGAACTACTGGTGGCCAAGGATGGGAAACCAAATTTGGAAATACATCCAGACGTGCGAGGCGTGCCAACGGACCAAGACCAGAAGAGCAAGGACAGGGACTCTGCACCCACATGCAGTTCCAAATGCGCCCTGGGAAATCATCTCCATGGATCAAATCGGACCCCTACCGGTCAGTAATGGGTATGATGCAATCCATGTGTGGTGTGACACCTTCACCAAAATGATCCATGTCGAACCCATTAGTACTGACATCAGCAGCGAAGGAGTAGCACGGTTGACAAGGGACCGGGTTTTCCGTTATCACAGGATCCCTGTCATAGTTCGACCACTTTTTCATCTTATCATTGACGATCTTATCTTATCTTGACACAACTTATCTTATCACGGATCACGGCATCAGACGGTCCGGGCTAGGGGTTCCAGGGGTTATCTCTATCGATTTGAGGCTGCGCGACATATGCTCTGGAAGGTTCTACTACAACCCATGACCAGCGTTCCATGCGGTACATAGTCTCATGATTCATTAGTTGTAGATATGACTCAGACTGGATTTGGGTATAAATACTGTAGCTACCTGGTTGTATTCTCCAGTCTTCGAATTCACTTCTCTTTTCGACTTTGTTTTTGGGTTGATTGTCACATATTAGGTAGTTTGTGAAAAGCCGGCGGAAGCCGGCGCCGGCTTTTTTTCATTGTGATGAGCCGGCGGAATAAAATGGGTCAGATTGCTAGTATAACATTGTTATCGAGTCAAGGAGGTTTGTTGAACACGATTGGGTCACGTGCACGTGTGAGTGCTGGATTGATTGGCACCCAATCCTTACGTTTCTCTACACCACACCGTATTCGACACTCTCGACGCGTTTCTTCTCATGGGACGAGGTCAGAAGCCTTCCAGGAAGGGTGCCCCACCCTCAGGTATTCGCTGCTCCGCCCGACTCAACAAAAACGAGCCCCAAGCGGATGTAGCGCATCCTTCTCCTGCTCCGTTGTTGCAAGCCGAATCACACGTGTCGAGTCCCAAAGTTGGTCTAATCGAGGACGTCAGCGACTACGAACACACGCAAGACCTCGACGGTCTCTCACATGGCTCGGAAAACGCAGCGCTGGTTACCCTTCCAGGACCAATACCTTGCACAAGCCGTTGACGAACGCCGCCCTTTCCTCGAGCCCAAGCAGAATCTGAAGGAGGCATGGAACGAGACCGCTGCCGTTCTTGAGAAGAACAGTCGAGCAGAGGGACCACAGTCTGCTGTTGTTTGTACCGGCTCCGCCTGTCGCACCCGCTTCAACAAGATCATGGGCCATCACAAGGTGCAACAAGCTCATGTTTTCGCTTGCTGTTTGAGTAACAGGTTGAACAGCGAGACGAAACTCGATCATTGCAGAAGACGGGGGCGGTTGAAGACATTTCCAAGCATCTCAAGGTACGTTCTCTTACCGAGCTTGTTAAAACGAAGTTATATCATGATATGTAGCTTATGACAGAGCTGCGGGCGCTCCTCAATGACGAAGCGCGCGTGCCAACGGCTCCAAAGACCTTCAAGGCAAAGAAGAAAGCCGATCTGGAGAGGCAGGCGGGACTGGAAATGCGCGACGCAGCGATGATGGGTCTTGTGGATACTTCGACTCTGACAGATGTTACACAGCTGGAGGGATCTTCGGTTTGCGAGAAGCAAGGGCAGCAAAAGTGCGTCACTCTTTCTATCACGGACACCCTTCTCTTACATCTCAGACGCAATCGGGACCCACTTGGTGACACAACCAATCAGAACGAAGATGAGCAAACTGAGACTTCGGTCCGACCCAAGAAACGTCGCCGAGGAGCGAATGCAATGAACGATGCCCTGGCCAAGAAGGGAGAAACTCTCGACAAGACGTTTGAAGACGCGCGGAAGCAAGGTGCAAATCAGCATGCACAGATCATTGAGGGGCAGGAACGGATTGTTGAGTCGCAGGACAAGGTCGCTGTTGCTCTGAACGAGCTTTTGGGGGAAATCAAGGGCATGCGACAGGACGCTCAGGGTGCCCGTGATACCAACGGTTTGTCTCGAGTCACCGAAATTCTGGCTCAGGCTCTCGTGGACAAGAAGTAGATAAACGATTTGTATTTTCGGGCTTTCGATTGCTACCTTTTTTGAGTTACAGTACTATTTCGCTTCGGATGTTGCTACTTGTCATCCCATTCTGCCCATGGAGACTGAAGGCACCATTCGTCAAGTTCTGCATCGGGTACAGGTTCACTGCGAAGGTACTCGGCAAGTGTTGGTGGAGGGCAATTGAAGAAACCAGAGACCTAATTGCCGTGGAGAATTGTGTGACAGTTGCAGAGGATGACCGAAACCAGGAAGTACAGCCCAACAGGCTGCAAGAGAAGCTTCTTGTTCTCGGAGTAATTCAAGTATGCGAACTGTTTCCCCATCTCTTTGAACATCCATTCAACGGGCTCCCGAATGCGCGCCATCTTATTGTTGAACTGCTGTTGAAGCTCGTTCAGAGCACCTTTGTATGGACTGCAGACATGGCGGGAGACAGGATAAGCTGAATCGCCGTAAACGACCAGTGGCTGGGTCCGTCCGGCACGCCAGAAGTGCGTCTCCAAGATCTCCTGAACTCCGCTTTCCTTGAAACAAGTCTGGTCATGGAGACGGCCTTCGATCGGCCCGAAAACATGGATGACCATGCCATCTGGAGTGACAATAAAGTGATATTTCAGGCAGTGTTTGCGCTTCCAGCCGCTATACACCATGCGCTGGTTCATGTTTGCTCTTCCTGTTCCATCAAGCGAGCCGTCCATCAGCGCCACAACATCAGGATGGGGACAGCCCTTTGCGGTCATATGGTCGGCACAACAAACGAGAGCTTGGGAATTGAGGCGGAATGGATCAAACTTCAGAACATGCTTCCAGCGCATGTAAATTGCCGAGGCAACAAGCCGTGTAATCCGCGAGAAACGGGAGGCCTCCCATCCCAACTCCAATTGAATATCACAAAGACGAGCAGGAAATGCAAGCCTTTGAAGCAACATGCATAGCGCTGTGAAAGCGTCTTGAATTATCCCTGTGTCGGGACATCGAATCTGCTGTGGTATTTGGAGAAACGTGACAAGAGATTGGGCCTCGGAGTAGGTAAAGCTGATGTCAGGATGTGGTAAGTCAGCTGGAGAGCATGAGATGTACCCTCAGGACGCACCGAAACTGCTGAAGGAACACATTGTCACCCATCTTTGCAAGATTGACCGGACCACCCTCTCGCGTTGCACCCTGGGTTTTAGCAATCCATTCCTCATCTTGAGCTTCCAAAATGATCTGAAGGTCGAGATAGAACTGCTGAGCAGCGAGAATGATCTCCTCTTCTTCGCTGGCCATTGATAATGAAGAGCCGGAGTGTGTGTTTTATGATCACCGCTGCGTCACCGCAACATTGATCGCCGTCACACTGATAATAGCCTCACGTGATCTCAAATACCTTTATTTCGCAACCTGATACACTACTGAGAACACCTGCCCCATTTTATTCCACTGGCTCATCACAATGAAAAAAAGCCGGCGCCGGCTTCCACCGGCTTTTCACAAACTACCTATTACCCCCTCTCTAGGGTTGATGTCCTCATCAACTAGGCCAATGGGCGTGAAGACGTTCTCGTAGGGGTCGAAGAGTTGTCGTTCGGGATATGGAAGGCGCTCGTCCCTGGGCTTGTAACAATGAATGAGATAGTCCCAGTGTCCAGCTTTGAGCGTCGGCAGGAGGCGAATGCGTGTGTCTGGATTTGATTGTTTCCTCTGCCAGTCTCTCAGGACGTCCTTTGCGTGGGTAAGGTGACGTGATGGTTCCCAGGTGTTCTCGCTGTGCGGCCATCCCTTCCATTTGACCAAGTACTGTTTTACTCTGCCGACTTTTTGTTCTTTCACGATTTCTTTGACTTCCCACTCCTCTGCTCCTCCGATCATCTTGGCTACGGGTCTCTTCTCTCGGCGATGGGGGGGTGGTTCATGATAAGGTGTCAATAGTGACTCGTTGAACACCGGGTGTCTTTGGTCCGTGTCCGGCAAATCCAGCTTCCATGCGGCCGCTCCAACCTTCTCCAGTATCTCGTATGGTCCCAATCTCTTGTTGCTCATCGTCTTTGATGGTCTATCCGTCTCGATATTTTCCCCTTCTATGTACACCTTCATCCCAACCTTCAACTCCGGAACTTCTTTTCTTTGTTTATCGTAGTATTTTTTCATTTTTTCTTTTGCTTTTTCCAATGCTGCTTTTGCTTCGTCTTGTATTTCTTTGATTCTTTTTACAAATTCCTCCGCCGACTCGTTCCTTGATTCCATCTGCTGCTCCACTCCCTTCCATGGGTGATATCCGTGATTTGCATAGAATGGCGACATCTTGGTAGACGTGTTCATTTTGTTGTTATATGCAAACTCCGCCATTCCCAGCCACTCTGACCAGTCCGTCTGATGATAGTTGACGTAGATGCAGAGATAGTGTTCGATCTCCTGATTCATGCGTTTGGTTTGTCCATCCGTGATCGGGTGATATGCGGTCCCCGGGTTCATTTCCATGCCCAACATCCGATTCGTCTCCTTCATGAAGCCCTTGATGTAACGCGAGTCCCTGTCGGTGATGATCTTGCGAGGGATCCCATGGTAGCGGAAGACTCGGTCCCTGGTTAACCGTGCGACTCCTTCACTGCTGATGTCAGTACTAATTGGTTCGACATGGATCATTTTGGTGAAGGTGTCACACCACACATGGATTGCATCATACCCATTACTAACCGGCAGGGGTCCGATTTGATCCATCGAGATGATTTCCCACGGCGCATTTGGAACTGCATGTGGGTGCAGAGTCCCTGTCCTCGCTCTCCTGGTCTTGGTCCGTTGGCACGCCTCGCACGTCTGGATGTATTTCCGAATTTGGTTTCCCATCCTGGGCCACCAGTAGTTTCTTTCCACCATCTCCTGCGTTCGGTTGATCCCAGCGTGTCCGACCAACGGGGTGTTGTGGTGTAATCCGATGATCTTGTCCCGTAACTCCTCGTCTCTTGGTACATAGAGCTTCCCATGATACGTGATAAGCCCCTCTTCCTTCTTCCATCCGACAAGTGACTTCTCCAAGGCCGCCTTGACGCTTCCATCAATTGATCGAATGGCCTTGATTTCATCGATTAGCTGCTGATCCTGTCCCTCGAATGTGACTTCTTGTGATCGGAAGAACTCGGGCTTCAGTAGCGTGACATCCTTGTTGTCGTTCTTGCCCTGATTGTGATCCGCTCGTCGAGACAGGAGATCCGCCTTGCGGTTGAGTGCGCCGGGTCGGTGTCGTAAGGTGAAATCAAACTCCGCCAGCTCCGTGATCCATCGTGCTTGTCGTCGATTGAGCTTCTGCGGCTTTCGGAAGTACTCGAGATTCTGATGATCGGTGAAGATCTCGAATGTTTCCGTGGCTCCCAGGAGCAGCTGCCTCCATTCATCAAGTGATAACATGATCGCGAGCATTTCCTTGTCGTAGATCTCGTAATTTCGCTCGGTTTCGGTCAATGCGTGTGAAATAAATGCGATTGGGCGCCAAATGCCGTCTTGGTTTTGGCTCAAAACTGCTCCTGTTGCCCCTTCCGAAGCATTGGCTTCCAGACAATATTGGCCAGTGTCATTTGGCAGTGCTAAGACCGCATCCTCCGCGATTCTCTTCTTCAATCCATCAAATGCGGCATGCTCATCTGTACCCCATGACCATCCTGCCTTCCCTGTCAACCGTGTCAATGGTTTGGCAATCTCCGCATATCCCCAAACAAAGCGTCGATAGAAGTTGATGAACCCTAGGAAGGCTTGTACTTGTTTGACGCTTTTGGTTCTGGCCATTCCATCACGCCCTTGATCTTGACTGGGTCCATCCGCATCGAATTGTGTCCAATAATCACACCCAAATATTCGATTTCCGTGCGTTCAAACTCGCACTTTTCGGGTTTCAGGTACAGCTTGTGTTTTTGGAGCAGTTCGAGTACTCGTTTTGTGATCCGCCGATGTTCGTTCAAGTTCTCTGTGAAGATCAGTATATCATCAAGATAGACTACCACGTGGCCGTCATTGATCAGTTCTCGGAGTATGTCATTCATCATGTTTTGGAAGGTTGCTGGGGAGTTTGTGAGACCGAAGAACATGACCAAGGGCTTGTACAGTCTGCGGTTTGTGCGGAACGCAGCCTTCCACTCGTCACCCTCTTTGATCCGTACGTTATTGTATCCCCACCGGATGTCGAGCTTGGTGAAGAACTTTGCACCGCATAGATTATGGACCAGTTCAGAGATCAATGGCAGCGGGTACCGATTTCGGATTGTCATTTCGTTCAGCTTCCGATAATCTTGGACGGGGCGTAGCGAGCCATCCTTCTTTTTGACAAAGAAGAACGCTGATGCCATGGGTGATTTGGAAGGCCTGATCCGTCCGCTGGCCAGGTTCTCTTGTAAGAACTCGTCGAGTTTGACCTGTTCGTTTCGTGATAACGGGTACACCTTGCAGTCCACTGCTTTGGAACCAGGTTTGAGCTCGATTGCATGGTCCCATGCCCGTCGGTCTGGCAGCGAGTCGAATGATTCCTTGGCGAATACTTTGACAAATTCCCGATATTGATCCAGAATCTTCCCCTTGGTCATTCTCTCCTTCTCTTTTTCCGCTTCTTCTGCGAATTTCTGCGCCGGCGTTTCCTTCAACCATAGATCCACCTCCTTCCCAAAGTCAATCAGCAGGATTGACTCTCCCTCTTCCAGATCCGGTGCACCTGCATCCAGGTCAATTGCATCCATGTCGATCATCGCTTGATGCTCCTCGTGACCCCTCATGTGACACCGCTCGGGGCATCGGCTGAATCTCATGGTCTGCTCCTGCCAATCCACCTCGGGGTTGTGTTCTGTTAGCTTCTGTTAGCCAATCAAGGCCGATGAAGATCTGAGCTTTTCCTAGACATGTCAGAAGGAATGTGCGGGTCTCCACATGAGGACCAATTCTCATCCTCAAGTCAACGTAATTTGTGATCCGGCCACTGATGTTCTCGGTGTTGTCAGCATTACGAGCCACGATGGGTTGTGGAAGCTCTTGGATATCCAGCTTCTCTGCCCGCGCGTAGTCGGTATCAATGCAGCAGGTGCTACAGCCACTGTCGAGTAGCGCCTTGACTCCGCGCGTCTTTCCTGAGTCCAGGCCCGTGATCTGTACATACACATCCATCGAATGTCTCTTCCTTTTGGCCTGGTAGTTGCGCAGTTCCTGCGCCAGTCTGCTGGGTTGCGGGCCCTTCTGCCTCTTGGCTGCCCATTTCCTTTGAACGGCATCTGGCACCCTCGTGCGTTTGGGTGTTTCTGGAACCCTGATTTCGGCAGATTCCTTGGGCGCTTCCTCCTATTTCAAGGATTGAGCCTCCGGAGCGGTGCTCCCCTTTTCAGTCTTTGTTGACGTGGTTCCTTCTCCACGAGCCATAAATACGTAGGAGTCCAAAATTAATTTATCCGCAGCTTTCTGATCCTTTTTACTTTGTAAATACTCTCTATTTAAAGCTATTTTCTTTTGACGTTCCTTTTCCATATCAGCAACAAGAAAATCATGAATATTAGTACGTAGGGAGTCTGAGATTGTGTATGCATGAGGAGAATCGTTCATATCTCTAATCGAAACAAGTATAGAAAAACGTCCATAGTCCGGACGCTCCACCTCCTTGGCTAGAGGAGTGGAGCGCTTCAAAAACCCTTCTCGCGCAGCTTCTCAGCGATCTCCTTGAGGAACTCGTTGTCCTTGTCCCCGTTCTCGATCTCTTCCAGCATCGTGGCCCGATTGAAGAACGTGCGCTTCTTCCTTGGCTCCGGACAGTTCCGCGCAATGTGCCCAGGCTGCTGACAGTTGTAGCAGATGATATTGCGGCCGCGGGCGTGGGTGCAATCGATTTCCATCGGAACCGGTTCGTTGGCAGCGGGTCGGGCCGGGGCCGGTGCAGGTGTCATTGGGGCTACCTGCGGGCGGAATTGGGGGGGCGGTCGTGGTGCGGATTGCGCATGCGATGCTTTGCGCAGCTGATCGCGTAGAGCATTCGCCTCGATGTTGACACACCAGTTCTTGAAGGCACCATATGCCTTGGGCAGGGGGACGCCGGTGTTGTAGAGGCGGCTTGCAATTTCGCTGCTGAGTCCGCGCTCCAGGAACTCGATGAGGATATTGTCCTGTTCCCCCTTCTTGTACTCGCCCTTGCTGTCGGTGGAGGTGACCACGTTGTACCCCGCGTCTGCAGCCAGTATTTCGAAGTCGGAGATGTAGTCCGCAAAGGACTGTCTGCCCTGGCGAAGGGCCATGAGTCGGGCGGCAGCGACTTGCTCTGCGTTAGAATCCCCAAAGGCCCTCTGGAGCTCCTCCAAGAAGCTTGTCGCGGTGACTCCCGCCTTTAGTCCTTGGAAGCCCTCGAAATTGTGCTGCTTACAGTTCATCACCCATCTCGAGGCGGCGCAGCTTGTGCCGGTTTCGTTACGGAGGTAGGACAGGGCGAAGAGGATTTTTGTCTCGTCCAGCGAGAACTCCGATTGATAGGCACCAATGTAAGTGGTGCACGCGTCCACAACGCCCAGGTATTTGGACTTGTTGCCATCGAAGTAGGGGGGATTGGCGGCAAGGGTGATGCGGTGATGTCCTGACATGGTAGGAGCAGGTGTGGTAGGTGGGGGCGAGGGTGGTTGTTCGGAGGGCAACTCGTCAAGGTCGGGGAACTCGTCTTCAGGCGGCGGCAGGGCGAGGTAGGGGTTGGAGGGTCCGGGTTGGTTTTGATGCGCCAGATCAGGCGACGATGGTATGATGGGGGAGGGGATGGACTCCCAGATGACGATGGGAATCGGTACGAAATGGTGGATTCGTGTGCTGTACAAGCACTCGAGGAAAGGTTCTTTTGCTAGCAAAAAGATCCCGGGCCTAGCTCTTCACGTGCCCGATGATCCCGAGGTGCGTTTTCCCAAAGGTCTCCGCAGCACTCCTTGTAGCTACTGTAAGGCTTGGGTCGGGCTTAACGTTACCCGTGGCCTGGTGCTGTTTGCTCGATATGAACCTTTCACTGCGATTGCAGCGAGCGACTAGATGATTCGGTAAAAGGGTGAGTGGGATGATAAAGGTGAAGAGGATATAGCGGGCGTAGCGGTGCAGGGAGCAGGGTAGGAGGTACGAGGTACGAGGGTATGAGGGGAGTCTTGGAATTATGTGACAATCAACAAGAAATAATGTCGAAAAGAGAAGTGAATTCCAAGACTGGAGAATACAACCAAGTAGCTACAGTATTTATACCCATATCCAGTCTGAGTCATATCTACAACTAATGAGTCATGAGACTATGTACCGCTGACGCGCCTGCTTGCGCATATACGCAAGTCGAAGACAGATGACGGTCGAGGACGAGTCTCGGACAAGCCGGTCCGTGATTGACAGGTGGCGGTACGTGATCAATAGCGTCTGAATTCAGCGGCGCAACTATTTTTCCTTTAACCACATCGATTCACGGCTGCCCACGACACCACCGCACGATTTCTAACGTCTCGACGCATGCTGCTCCGTGTACCAGGCTCAGCTGAGCTCGCTTAGACGGCGCCAAGATCAATTTTGCGGACTTTGTGCTCCCTTTGACAAAAACCATCCGGCGCTGTTCTTAGCCATCCCCTTCCCATATGACACCGAGCTTTTTCTAAGTCATTTTCCACATGTTGTCTCATTATTTAGACACCGGTATATGTATCTTTACACTATATAAAACCTGTATGTCTGTACTTGCAAAAATAAGACAGATTTTTGACTACCTTTCAAATTCGAGCCTTCGAAACGCTCCGCTTTAGTCTCGTACCTCGCCTTCGACTCCGGCCATCGTCCCCGACACTTAGACACTCCGTCCCCCAACAACCGGCTCCTTCTGCTGCCCGATACGTCCCGGAGCAGTTGAACCCTCGCATTTTTATTATTTCTGCTGTTTACTGCGTAGTAGCTGACCTGTATTTTTGTTAGCTTGCGCACGGCCGGCAGCAGAGTCGTCACCGCATGGAACGCTGGTCATGGGTTGTAGTAGAACCTTCCAGAGCATATGTCGCGCAGCCTCAAATCGATAGAGATAACCCCTGGAACCCCTAGCCCGGACTGTCTGATGCCGTGATCCGTGATAAGATAAGTCGTGTCAAGATAAGATAAGATCGTCAATGATAAGATGAAAAAGTGGTCGAACTATGACAATCCCTCGCAAGATCATCACCGACAGGAACTCACGATACATCAAGGGCTTCATGAAGGAAACAAATCGGATGCTGGGCGTGGAAATGAATCCGGGGACCGCATATCACCCAATCACGGACGGGCAAATGGAGCATATGAATCAGGAGATCGAGCACTATCTCCGCATCTACGTCAACTATCATCAGACGGACTGGTCGGAGTGGCTGGGAATGGCGAAGTTTGCATATAACGACAAAATGAACACGTCTACCAAAATATCACCATTCTACGCAAATCACAGATATCACCCATGGAAGGGAGTGGAGCAGCGGATCTACCAACGCTCGAAGCTGGACATTGGGACTACCTCATCCATCGCTACAAACCCAAAGACGAGCGCCTCCCATATCCCCAACAACGACTGTTCGACCCTTATGAAAACGTCTTCACACCCATTGGCCTAGTCAATGAGGACATTGACCCTAGAGAGGGGGTAATGTCATAGTTTGACCACTTTTTCATCTTATCATCCACGATCTCATCTTATCTTGGCACAACTTATCTTATCACGGATCACGGCATCAGACGGTCCAGGCTAGGGGTTCCAGGGATTATCTCTATCAATTCAAGGCTGCACGACATATGCTCCGGAAGGTTCTACCACAACCCATGACCAGTGCTCCATGCGGTATATAGCCTTATGACTCATTAGTTGTAGATATGACTCAGACTGGATTTGGGTATAAATACTGTAGCTACTTGGTTGTATTCTCCAGTCTTGGAATTCACTTCTCTTTTCGACATTGTTTCTTGTTGATTGTCACACAGACTGGATTTGGGTATCAATACTGTAGCTACTTGGTTGTATTCTCCAGTCTTCAAATTGACTGCTCTTTTTGACATTATTTCTTGTTGATCGTCACAGGAATGCGAGAGATATTGAGACAACTTTCATTTTTAAACCAAAATTCAGAGGTACATCTTCTGGCTTCTTTTGAAGAGCAGCGTCTGAATCTGATGTCAACTTGTCACAAGTGTCAGGGGAGACGTGTCAGCAGGATGAGGTCATCGGTATTGATCCGGCGGTGTTCCGGCGGTGATCCGAGGGTTATCAGTCAGCGGTGTCATGCTCCTTACGTCATCTACTTGTATATAGATAGTTGCTGGGGATCTCTGATCCCCAGTCTTGTTATCGACTTGGCCCCTGGGCTCCACTCCCCTTACAGCATAACAAGACTATTCTTCGGCTCTGGCACTCTCCCTAGCCCCAGTCGACCACCCTATCTCCTACTCTGCCCTCACCCTACCCTCGACCCTACACCTCCCACACCATGGCTACACCCGCGGGCCACCTGGATATCTATTCCTACTACGAACTCTTGCGACATGAGGTTCAGCGTCTCCACGACCGCCTGGACCGTATGGAGCATGGGAACACTGCAGCCTCTACCCCCCGCGGTCATGCCTGGCGCCCTGCCTGGGATGGTGCTCGCTGGCAGTCTGCCCCCACTACTCCAGCCCCTACCCCTGCCGTCATTGCCGTCGGCCACACCACCATACCACTTGCCGAGACCCTCCCTACTGCCGCCGGTTCACCTGGCCGCTACTCCTGCACGCTCGTGGTGCCCGACTCTGTTGTTGGGCATATCGTTGGTCGAGGCGGCAAGGGCCTTCACCAGGCTCACGACACTTCTGGCGCTCAACTGCGGGTCTACACCGACAAGACTTCTCCCGCCGAACGCCACGTCTCTATCCGGGGTACCGACCAGCAAGTCGGTGAAGCCCTCATTGCGCTTGGGAAGCGCTTCATGCGCAAGCGTGTCCGCACTAAGAAGACGGGCCCGCCACGCCCTCTGGGGACCCTGCCCCTCCCCCTCCTGGCCCTGCACCGGCGCCTTCGGACGTAGCGATGCCCGAGGCCAGCCCGCTCAAGGAGCCCGCACCTGCGGCACGACGCTCCAAGACTCGGCAGCAGGATCCACCCGTCCCGGCTGCCTCCGGCCCCCCGCAGCCACGTGAGGCACCTCTGCCCACAGCTCCGGCTCCGCAGCACCGGGCACGGGCTCGATTCGCACCACAGGACTCTTCCCTTCCTGCCCCGGCTCCCCTACCCCATGAGCGTGCGACTACCCCCTATGCCCCTATGCGCGCCATGGCAACCGCTATCCCTACCCCCCAGCCCAACTCTACTCCATTCGTCCCCTCGGTGGCCATGCCCACTGCAACCTCTACCCCTCAGTCCTTCACCCCTGCCGGATCGCCCATGGCCATCGACTCGGTGAGGACCAGGGTGCCTCGGAGGCAGACGGCACGGCGAGGGCGTGGTGTTCTTGGATCGGTCGCCCGTACTGACTCCCGCGGTAATCTATTGTTTCCAGGCGATCCCGGCTACGACCGGGCATAAACCCTACAAGTTCGGGGTATACTCGTCGAGGCGACGAATCTTGAAGAGGGGATGATGTCAGGGGAGACGTGTCAGCAGGATGAGGTCATCGGTATTGATCCGGCGGTGTTCCGGCGGTGATCCGAGGGTTATCAGTCAGCGGTGTCATGCTCCTTACATCATCTACTTGTATATAGATAGTTGCTGGGGATCTCTGATCCCCAGTCTTGTTATCGACTTGGCCCCTGGGCTCCACTCCCCTTACAACAAGAAAAACTAGCCATGTGATATAGATAGGTGAGCTTTGATTTGCCCACATTGTATATCAGAAAGATGTTGGTATTTCTGAGAGGACCATCTTTTGCAGCTTTTTAGTGCATCCACAATTTACCAGTAGAGCATATTAGATTTCTTAGAAACCACCACTTTCTACAAAAAAGCTTCTATAGAAAGTTCTTGACTTTCTATGGGAAGTGATTCAAATCTGTGCAATTGTCAGACGTGGTCACACTGGTCACAATGGATGACATTCATTTCGATCCAAATCGTGTCAAGTGTGTCATGCACACACGTGTTGTCTTGCACCTCCTCTGCACTAGAGGTTGCTCTTTTCAGCACAACTGGGAGTGTGGGAGGCAGGAGACGGTGGAATTGGCGAGAGTTGGTGGTGTGACAAGTAATGTGATTGTATGTGGAGTTCCTTTTGCTATAGAAAGTGGCCCAGATTTAAGCGACATTTGATATATTTTATGTAGAAGGTTACTTTTTACAAATTCCAATATGCTCTAGTGTGTGCAGTCCGCTAAGACTGCAGGGGACTTATTTTTTTCCGTGGAAAACATGTGACAATCTAGAAATCCGATTTTCACTGTTCTATTTTGTGAGTAACATTCAGTAGTCTTTTGCAAGGTCAGGAATGCAAATTGCCGGAATCAACAGATTCTCCTAGTGGTTTTAATCTGTTTTCAGTGAAAAAATATTATCTTTTTTTGTTTCTATTTTCAGTGAAAATCGACGTCTATTCCCAGTGAGACTCGATTAAAAAAAGATGCTCTATTTACAGTTCTGTTTTCGGCAGGAATATATGTCTATTCATGGTAAAAATTGAGCTGTAAATCGACGTTTATTTTCAATATATATTTTTCGTCTGAAAACAGAACAGTGAAAATCGGACTTCTAGATTGTCATGCGTTTTCCACGGAGAAAAAATAAGTCCCCCCGCAGTGTGATAGGAATTCAAATTTTGCTGGTATACTTATCCAGAATTATTACAGATCATTTAAAAACAACAAGAAAGCATAAAATACAGATGAGCAAAGTCGTTGCCTCAAGGCTCAAACCTCAATCGGGTCACACAGAGCACTTCCGGCTCGGTGCCAAGAGCATCCAAGACCTTTCTGGGAGCACAACAACACGCAGCTCTCTCGTCCCACCTGCAAGCTCCACACAAGTCTTGTAATGCTTCCAGTCATGCTCGGGCGCCAAAAGCGGGAGCTCGGAAAACGGGCAGATGCGTAGATCGACCGCTCCGGCCGCGTAGTCCATGATTGTGAATGTGGCAAGCGGATCGGGGCTCGGCAGGCGCTTTGCATCGGTCTGTGTGAGAAACATAAGAAATGCAGGAGGCGGGCTGGATCCTGTGAGGAATTATTCAGAGCTGTCTTGAATCAGAGCAATACGCAACCGTCACAGACCAAGCTTGCCGCAAAGCGACCGGTGTGTGCCCTGCTTCCAGTCTCGTCTGGCAATGCTTGTTGCAGTAGAACACTTGTCGGCACTGTGAGCACCGTTTGAATTGTTTCTTCGAGGAATCTTGGGGGCACTGATTTATTCATTCTGGTCAGCTCATATTCTCTCATCTAATTGCTTCAATCGCACCTGAGGCCCATCACATAATATGACCCCCACCCGCCCGCGCGAGTCGAAATCTTTCTTGATGGAAAAACGGGCTTTCAACAATGGCAGCATCCGAGACCACGGTGTGACTAGCGGCCCGATCGGGAACTTCAACTGTGTCTCCTCAAGTGAGACAAGAGCACGTTCGAGATACGCCAAAACAGAATACGACGTCAGCTGCCCGGGGAGCACGTCGCTGAGCAGTTTCATCTGGTTTGGGAAGAGCGTGTCTGCGTTCATGGATGTTGTCCCCGGAGATGCGAGAATGCCGAGATTTGTCTTGGCGATAGCGGGAAGCAGCCCGGAGCACAAGGCCTGTCGGACCCAGGAAGGATTTGGCTTTGCCCGGGTGAGCAGCGTGAAAATCGGGCCCTGCAAAGTCAGCATCACGCCCGCTCCATTAGTCACAGGCAGGGCGATTCTCCCGATACGGTCGAGACACAGCGAGAGCTTGACCAATCCAGCGGCAAGGCCCATGTCCATGAGGACGTCGATCAGCACGTCCGAATACGCTACTGTGATCTCCAATAGCGCCGTCAGCGACTGGACGGTCCAGGGCAGCATAGTAGCCTCATGCCACTCCTTCTCGCGTCGCGTTATGCGGATGTGTTGAATGACGAACATCGCATAGTCCACACACGTTCCCCCGCACGCCTCAAAGATCTCCCCTTGGACGTGCGGCGCTGCATGATTGAAGATCAGAAGAGAGCACAGCAACCGCCCGAGATCCGAAGTATACGGCAGTGCCCAAGACAGATCAAATACAGCGCGGCGCCACAGATGAACCAGGTGCCGAATCAGTCCGGGTGTCACGTGCACGATGCCAAAGGGCACCGGCGGTTGCGGGGAGGCGCCTGAGAGCCATCTGTCGGATACACACAGCTGACGCAGAACGGAGAGTGCAAGCTTCCGAACGTCGGTCCCTTCAAGCGATACTACATCCCGATCGTCCAGCATCTGATGCATGCACAAGCATTGCCAGATCCGGGGCCATAGGCTCACTATAGACATCTCTGGGATGAGTGATTCCCTGAGCAAAAGTTCGATTGATTGTAGCACGGGGTATGTCTTCAGGATGTAATCGGCCGGCGGTATGGCATCGTCTCCGTGGTCGATGGTCTGCGGTGGTTCAAGCAGCCGAAACAGCAACGGAAGGAGGGCCGCCTGGTCGCAGGGTGGCAGTTTTGGTATGGCGAGGATTGCTTCCAACTCTTCCGGCTTACAGCTTAATGCAGTCTTGGCAATGTTCTATCATCAAATTTGAGTCCTTAGCCCACGATTGAGGCAACGGTGAGCTTCCCTGAAGACGAGCAGGAAGCCTGGCAATATTCGCCCATCTCAGAGTTTCTTCGGGCATGGTGGTAGCGGAGGAGAAGCGGCAAAACCGTTGACAACCCAGGAGGCATTCGAATTCCTCAACCCAATTAGGTTCGAATCTGCCCGCCGAATTCAATTGCAAGTGCGACATCGATCATTGCCAGTTGACATCTTTGGCAGATTGTAACAGGTCGCTCGACACCCGGCTCGTGCAAAACACAATTATTGCGGACTACTCACTACATTGCGTTGATTCGAGCTCGGGATACGATCGAGAATCGTAAATTCCTCTGGTTTGAGTCCAGCAGTCAGCATCCACACCAGCTGCTTAGAAGTGCGGTCACAAATGGACATGCCCGCCACTTGACAATTTGATAACAAGTCATTGATGATGATCTCACATAGAGCAGCTCGTGAACCGGGCGGACAGAGACTCAAGCTCCCAACAGGTTGGCGCTTCTTATCTTACCTCAATGGCGACTAGCCAACATCTTTCCCAATCTTAGGGAGCATGGGAACAGCACCAGCAGTCAGGCGGAAGGGTGAGTGCAAGAATCTGATACGATATTCCTTATTCACTTGCTTCCAATGGACTCCGCATCGGAATAGGGTTGGTGAGCAAGGAATATTTTCAACTTGCTATGCAGTTCCTCTGAGAATATTTCTTCCCAAGAGGTTGGTTAAATCGAACTTGCCCCTATTTTGTCAAGGACTGGCATCATGCGCGGCTAAGGCTGGAAATGCCCTTGTGGATAGGATGTGGGAGCATCTCTTGATCAAAATAAATCCCTGCAAAGCGTTGCGACGACGCAAACCTTTGTTCCAAATATTCGTCCTAATGATAGCACCGACGATGATTGGCAGGGGAATGACAAGTGCACTCAGCCGGTATTGACCTACAAGCTAGAACGTAATACAGAGGATCGATCCCACTCTTGTTTTCGGACGGTGATCGCGGAATACTTCACATCGCTTTGCATTTCTCTTCAGTCTCAGGGCTGCTCGCCGACCGGGGAGTGCACCCTGCTTCCTCTCCCGCTGCCTACCCACACCTGACCAATCTTCGCCACCAAGCTCGGTCAAAAACGCATCAGCGCGCCGAAGAAGGGAACCGGCAGCTGATGTACTGCTTGGTCTTCATTTTCGGAGAGGAAAACGTGCGAGAAACGTTCATTCATGCACTTTGCCTGGCTAGCGCATCGGTACATCGGTCCGGATCAGACCTTGTTGTACGGAATCGACAACAAGCTTGATGGGGATAGCCTCGACGAGCAAGACATGCTGCTGGGGAAACTTACATCAAGGAGCACTGCCAACTGATGGGTGGATATCTAGCTGCGAATAGACACGCATCCGTTCGTCAAAAATATTCGCTGGCAGTCGATGTTCGAAGTGGAACGCTCGCCGCACGAAGCGAACTGCTTTCGCATCTGACTTGTGCGGGAGCTTTCGCATCGTTCTCTCCGGGAGGGATCAATCGGTGAGCCTTGTTTTAAAGAAGTTTTTCCACTATGAGAGCTCGCAAGCGAGAATCAGTTTCACACCCTGGCCTGCGCGACCGTAAGTCCGTCTCAACCCGAGGGTCTCGGGATGCTGGGCGGACGGACTACTTGCCACAAGACCGGCCATGTCGTCGTCTACATGCGAGATGAATTTCCGTTGGCCATGGCCGTTGACGGTGATCGACATTGACAACTGGGCCAGAAACGTGGTGTGGCCGCAAAAGTGATTGTATTAGGCAATTTTTAACCCGAGCGTGACCTTGCTCAGCAGAGCATCACTATCCATCACCTGACCTACTTCGTTTCTCCGATTACTTCGATCGATGGTGTATCTCCGTCAATGGAATCAAGTGCTTGATTTGACCTCGACTCGTAGCAGTCTCAAGTCCGTTCTCGCTCGTATTACAGAAACTAGCTCAATACATTCATCGCCGCGCTACTTAACGTCTCCAAGCGACCGCATTTCCGATGTTCGCTCCCGATGCAAATACATCCACTGTCTAAATGTAAAATCCCACTGGCGGACAGCAGGAAATCAGCCAGCCTGCGAAATGGAATAATTCTACCATACTTACACGAGTAGACGAGCGAGGTCACGAACACTCTCGAGATCTGATGCTTCCGCCGATCGACATCGTTAATGATTTCCAAAGCTGCACCGAGGGAGGGTTACCCCGAGGTTTCTATGGATAATGGCATCGCGGAATATACCGCACTCGCTCAAAGAGCGGCAGGCCGCCGTCGTCCTGGTCGCCGGCGGCCACCCCCCTCCTGTCGAACACTCTACACCATTCATAGCCAAAATGGGCAGAAACGACAACAGGAACAACCACCCAATTGATCAGTGCGTGGCTGTCAAGCAACCGAGGGTGATTGATGATGATGAGGACCGGCAGCGCGTCAAACGCGTGGTACATTGCCAAGGAATCGAAGCGTGCTATTTATAGCCGTGACCGCTCCCGAGTCACGACTTTTTCATTTCGAAATTCACTGGCCCCTGGCTCAGTTTTCTCCAAAAAATCGACGGGTAAGAGGAGAGCCTATGGAAAATTGCCATTTACGTAGAGCTGTTGGGAGAGATAGACCGCTCGCAAGGACTCGGCAGGGCACGGAGACTGCGCGGACATTCAGACCCGACGAAGTTTGATTGGATTTCACTTCGGAGATGATGTGGGCTTCGGAGGTTTTATCTTCTTTTTTTGCTGCATGGGAACAGCGTGGCGGTCCCCTGCGGCCCGGCTGCTGTCGAGACTCCCAAGACCCAAGCCTACCCCAGACCTGATTCCTTGGCTTTGCTTGGACGCGCTCGGGAGGGAGTGCGTATCATCAACATAATCAAGTCGGTGTCCCTTCGGTGGGTCGCGCACGCTAGCAGGGGCAGCGTAAATCCCCGGTGCATCTTGCGTGACAGGAACAATCGGTGTCGTCAAGGCCCCCCGGCAGACGGGGGAATCCTGATGCTTGCTTTTGTTGTGTTTCCGCGCACCGATATGATATAAAAGCGAACGGGGGACACCGTAGTTCCCCAGCTTGATCCCTTTGGCCTACTCACCCAACACCTTCTTTTCTGTTTCCCCGTCTTGAAGGCGACAACTTTCATTCTTTCATTCTTTTCTCGGCTTGCCGCATTTCAGTCCAGCACTACCCTCGATTGTCACGTACTTGTTGTCCTCAATGGCTCGTTTCGCTCTCCTCGCTCTCCTTGTCCCCGCCCTTGTGAGCGCTGCGCCGCTCAAGAGCAAGCGTTTCTCGTTTGCTCTCCAGAGGTAGGCTTGTTCGTTATGAGAAAGATTCTGACGCTGATCCACTTTGCTTCTAGCTACGACAGCTTCCAGATCTCTGATGGCGTTGGCGGTAACGCCAAAGCCCAGGCTGACGCGATCTTCGTCACGCCGTTCCCCGCCGATCTGAGCACGGTCGACGCCACCTCCCTCGCGAACGTCGAGGCGATGCACACCGCCGCGGAGAACGCGGAGACTCAGCAATTCGACCCTGCCATCTCGGCTGCTTCCGGTGCCACTGGTACGTCCGCTTTCATACCAGCCTTTCCTGTATCATGTTGCTTACCTACGGGCAGCCGCCGCTCTCCAAGTCGGCAAGATCAAGAACAAGGTCTTGAAGCTCACCGCTGAGGTCCAAGGCATCAAGATCAAGATGGCCCAGGCCCAGGCAGCCGGAAAGAGCACTGCCAGCCTGCAGTCCTCCCTCACCGCCGAGCAGTGCGTCGCACCCAAAATTCCTTGCCGTTCGAACGCGCTAACTGTACGCACAGGACCAAGCTGACCCACAACATTGCCCTCGACACCGCCGCCGCCGGCAAAGCCGCTCAGGGAGTCACCGGCGGAAGCGCTGCCGCCGCTGGAACTGCCGCCGCCGCTGCTGCCCCTGCCGCCACGACCAAGGCTGCTAAGGCCGCGAAGACCAAAGCTGCGAAGACCAAGGCCGCCAAGGCCACTGGCACCGCCGCCGCTGCCGCCCCCGCCGCCACTGGTGCCACCCTCGCTGCCACCGGTGGAAGCGCCGCCGGAACTTTCGACTTCGCTGTCCAGCAGTGCGTCGCCTCGGGCCATGATGCCTGTTTATCCCAGCTCATCTCTTCGCAGATACTCGTCGTTCCAGATCTCCGACGGCAAGGCCGGCACTGCCCAGGCCCAGGCTGACGCTATCTTCGTCGCCCCCTTCCCCGCCGACCTCACCACCGTCAGCGCGTCGGCTCTCGCCAACCTGAACACCATGCGTCTCGCTGCTGAGGCCGCGGAGACCGGCAAGTTCAACCCCCAGATCGCTGCTGCCTCCGGCGCTGCTGGTAAGTCGAAATACCTACTGCGCCGTGTGCCTAGTCGTACTGATGTATCTTGCTAGCCACTGCCCTCCAGAACGGCAAGATCAAGAACAAGGTCCTCAAGCTCACCGCTGAGGTCCAGGGTCTCAAGATCAAGCTCGCCCAGGCCCAGGCCAAGGGCTCCAGCACCTCGTCCATCCAGACCTCCCTCGCCACTGAGCAGTACGTGTCTCCGATCGTGAACTGTCTGGTTGCCTTGTTGACTCCCCACCGCAGGAAGAAGCTGAGCAACAACATCGCACTTGACACCAAGGCCGCTGGCCAAGCCTCCAAGGGTGTCGCATAGATAGACAGTCTCCCATCTCGTTCTACTTGTGCTCGTCCCTTTTTTTCTCCGTACCACCCTGTAGCCAAAGCCGTTCAATTCAAGCCATTAAATTCCTACCGTGGTTCCGTACATAAGACTGAGTGCTCAAACGGATGTGCATGCCGGTTTCTGCTGGTCAGAGGCCTTGCCTCTGCAGAGAGCAAGGCAGTTGTTTGTTTTGGCAACAAAGGTATCATTGAGGCGTGCCTTCTTACCACAAGATTCAAGGCAAGTTTAGTCCTGAAGCGACCATTTTCCTGCCATCGACATGGAAGAGATGAGGGTACCCGGACCTGTAGATCGCTCACGCAACTGTAGCCAAAGTAATCTTGGCCTTCAGCTCACTGATTCAGTTACCGGGTTGTCTTGATTCACACATCTCAGCTGATTCAGTATTCATTCTGCAGTGGCAAATTTCAAGATTTGTCCCTTCCAAAATAGAGTACACATAGGTTAGAGGGCAATACTGGTTGAGCATTTGCGTAGGGACACAAGCTTCAGCGGCCTAGGAGTTGTTGATCAAGTGTTAAAAACTCCAGCTATTCGGTCAATGCGATTCAAAGCTAGCCAATGTGCAGTCAGACGAGGTTGTACAAGCATGGCTCCGATCGTTCGCACAGATCGCCGAACCAGTCAACACGTCAAACTAGAAAGCACGCCCGCTTCGGTTCACAGGAAGAACCGATGTACGACATAAAGCGACATCCATACGAACAACGCGACCTGCAGCACTGCAACGAGCACCCGGAAATGTCGTGACCGCGACATCCGCTTCAGCCGCAGGCGCATGCTACTCGGCGGACCCTTCGCACCCGCCGCGTCGATCGCGGCGACATCTTCATCGGACAAAGGCGCTGCCGGCTGAGGTGAGCGCGAGAACAGAGTGCGGGGAAGTGGACAGCAACGCACGTAGGTCTCCGACGGCAAGGTACTCCCGCAGTCGCTCCTTCTTGGACGTCGTCGTGACGATGACGGCACCCTTGGCGCGCACCCACGACAGCAGAACCTGGGTCGGCGTGATTCCCAACCGGGCAGCCGCCGCCGCAACGGGCACGTCGACGGGCCCCCCAGGGTACTTGGTGATCGGGCTATAGCGGGAGGCGGTGAGCAAGTCGAAGCGGTGGAAGGTTCCGAACCCATACCTCAGACTGCTGAACGCTTCGATGACGATCCCGTGCTCCTGGGCCCAATCGATCGTATCCTTGTAGTCGGCGTACGTGTACGGATGTAGCTCGATTTGGTTCACGGCGGGCCAGACAGTCGCGGTTTGCAGCAGATTCTGGAGCTGTTCCAGGTGGAAGTTGCTCACGCCGATGCTCCTGGAGGAGCACAATGGATATATCAACGAGGGCAGCGCGAGCAGAAGCAGAGGGAACTAGCGAACGCACTTGGTGAATCCCTGCTTCTGGAACGATTCCACCGTCTTCCATACCTCCTCATACCCGGGGCGCGGGGAATGGATCAGATACAAGTCGACGAACTTCAGGCCCAGCTGTGATGATGACGAACACCTCATCAGCAATCGGTCCGCGTACAGCCAACGGCAAAAGACCACACACGTTCTGAAGACTTTGTGGAAGCGCGTCCGCGACGTTCCCCAGCCAGCTGTACTTGGTGGTGATGTACAGCTCAGACCGTGCCAGGCCGCTCTCTCGGATAACATCACCGACGAACTCTGTGTCCCCCGTCAGACTCGGACCGCATGCAGCTGAGGTGGACGGTACCTTCGGTGCCGTAGTCTAATTTGAACCAATGGCACGTCAGCGGGCTGTTGGGGCTTGAGAGGATTGTAACGCACACTGAGCGGTGTCCACATGCCAGAAGCCCGACTCGAGGGCCTGCGCGACGAGACGCGTCACGTCCGTGAACTTGTACACGCTGCCCGTGCCTACGACGCACGTGTCATCCCAGCCCGCCCAGCTTCTCCCACGAGCACTCACCGAAAGCGATGGCCGGTATCTAGGCGTGCGGACATGCTTGTCAGACGTCGCAAGGGCCAGAGAAAGAGTGACCGACCTCCTTGCCGTCGTTGAGAGGGATCGTCTCAAAAGTCATCTTCGAGGAAAGTGGACGAAAGCGAGCGCGAAGCGATCAGGCTTATAAACATTCTTGCGAGATGAGCGCGAGGTATTGGGCAATATGGCGCTGTCCATGCTGTCATGCTAGAAAGTCATAGCCACTTCTCGGCACAGCCCCTCTCCCTATCTCGCTGCGAGTGTATATTTATACTCGCAAGCTTGCTGCCTAGTGGACGGCAGTGACCCAAACACCCAGCCTAGTCCGACTCTCGTTGACCTTCGTGCGTCCCGATCGTATCCATGACCAGATCTCATCTCGCTCGGAACCAACCCGCTGTCCGATATGCGTCAAGAAATCGCTAATATGTACGTATAGTCGCGCATTCTCCCCATCCTTATGCCCCCCTACTGGCGAGTCATGTCGTACGACGAACGCCGCCGTGCCTAGGCGCCATACGCTGTCTCATCAGCGATTTTGACTCCAAAGGAGAGGGGAAACTAAGCGCAGGTGCAACACAATCGAGTTTGTGACAATCGAGATAACCTCGGATGGATGCCCCAGTGGAGGACGATGGGAACCCCGATTATGGGTAGGAGGTTTAGAGCACATTCGGATGACTCATCGCTTCGCTGGCGAAACGTAGGTTACAGGACTGTTGATTGGAAAGTTGGTCCTCCGAGTCTGAGCTTGAAGCCATCAGTCACACCACATGGTTTCAGGTCACAACTGGCCCTATCCACTCCTCCTCGGCAGCGGCAGAGTTGTCTCCATTCAGACCGGAATTAGACTTGTACACTCCAAGCCCGGAATAGCGAGGATGCCTATCATCAAGAGGCTTGACTGAGTTCAGCTCGACAACCAAGACATCCATCTCGACTTCTTGCTGCGTTGCACCTTGCGGTTGACGGCCTGTCTGCGCTCCGCATCGGCCAACAAGATCCTCTCCATGATCTCCATCTCCCGTTGCTTCATCTCCGCCTCACTCAGCACACCCTGCCCGCCGTCCATCTCCGTGTCTCTGTCCGCCGACGACTCGTAGCTGCCGTCCTTTATCCCCGCCACGACGAAAAACGCGTCGATCTTCCCGCGGTACCACTCGCCGTGGCGCATGCCGTCCCTCCATTCCAGTGGCAAATACGCGTAGCCGCACAGCGCGCCCATCAGCGCGCCCGCAACGGCACCATTGGTGTCCGCATCCCCGCCGTGCATGACGAGCGTTGTCATCGCCGAGCGGAATGTGTCCTGCCGCGTCATCACGCGCCGCAGACACCACAGCGCGGAACCGAGGCATTTGTACACGTATCCCATCGTCCGGTCGCACAGCACCATGCCGGACAGCGAGGAAGTAGGATCCGAAGGGTAGTACACGTATCGGTCAAACTCGGTGCGGTCCAGGGGATCGACGAAGATCGCAGAGACGTGGGTCCACGCCCGCTCGATGAGCTGGTCGATGTGCTCCAGTGCCGTTATCTCGCCACGGCAGAGGCCACGGATGAGTCCGCAAACGATGGCGACGGAGACAGCGCAGCGAGGATCGGCATGGGTGACCTCGCCCATCCGTATCGCTGTGGCGAATGTCTCCGGCTCGGACGCGTTAATGCAGATGACGCCAACCGGCGCGGTGCGCATGAGCGATCCGTTGGGGGCGACGCTGCGGCCCGACTTTTCCCAGTGCGAGAGCGCTGTGCCCACTGGGTCGGAGAGGAAAGAGGGCGCGTGAACGACGCTTCCGACGGTGCCTGCGCTCGATAGTTAGCTGGAGGAAGGACGGAGGAAGGAAGCGGCAACTCACGTCCGAGACCCATGGGAAGCCGGTTCAGCACACGCAGGCCTTGGTTGCACCTGCCACTCAATGAGCTCCGTTTCGTCGTATGGCGAAAGCATCCAACTTACCACGAGTGCAGTCTTGTCGCAAAGTCCCCAGGAGCGAGCTCGCGAGTGCGCAGATACGACAGGATGATGAGTATCGCGTGGTCCGTATCATCCGTCCACGCGCGCTGTGCTGCTGATCAGTCGTTTGCCCTCGCCCATCTGCCCGGACTTGCGCTTTCGAATCGACCTGTGACACATAAGAGACTGTTGTCCTTTCCATCTGCACACGTAGAGCATACATCTATGGCTGTCTTGATGCAGTGGTGTTTCTGGCTCCACGAGGGTGAAAGCAGGCCGTTCAGAGCCGTATGCAGCGACTGCCATGGCTGGTGTCATGAATTCTACAATACTGGTCAGTTCGAGGGGAAGGATCTGTGCCGATCTCGCGCACCGGTGTATATCCCGATAGCATCTCCCAATGCAGAACCAAAGATGGCTCCCATGGCGCGGTCTTGCATCTGGGCAGAGTTCATCGTTTTGGTGAGAGATTGAAGATGTCCAACCCGTTGCCAAGAACATGAGTCTGTTTATATCGTGTCTCGGGGAAGGCAGTGCACTGGACCCCTGATGCTGTGAACTGACGTCAACACGTCCTTGACACGTCGAGTCGAGGTTCACAGCTAATAGCGAGGGCTTGATTGCCTGCACTCCTGGAATCAGCCGGTCGAATGACGGATGCGTTTTTCGCGACGAACCTCTATCTGAAATCGAAGCTAGCCGCACTCTTGTTGTCAGACACGACAGGCCTCCCTCGGCCCTCACTCCCCACATAGAGCTGGTCGAAAGAGTTGTTTCAAGGGGAACATCGTGCAGTGGCCTCAAATGATATCCCCAGCACTGAGCTTCGCTTCATCGGTCGCATGGCAGGCTTATGGAAAACGCCAGGCAGTCGGACGTTCGCTATTGTCGAGGCAGAATTGGACAGGAAGGCATTAATGGTGATGTCCTTCGATCTCAAGTTTGGGATGGGGTTCAGTAATGGGAGGAGTCAATACGTGGCTGGCAGCAGTGGATGGGGTCTTTAAAGGATGATTCTGAGGACACGTGACTCCCATCATGAAGCCTTTCCCAGGGACACGTGCCTCGATGTTCAATTTTGCAAATTCAACGATAGCATGTGGAGCAAGATTGAACAGTGACGTTTATCTCGCAGCGAATAAAAGGATTGCAGAAGCAAAATATGAATTAATTCTCGAATAAGTCAGGCGACATGTATCGGTGTTCAGGCCGCGTGAGAAGTAATCGAGGCCGGAAGCGCGTTATAGATAGGGCACAGCTGGTTCCATGCAGACGGCGGGATCAGCTCCGACTTCCAGTCGGCCACGTCCTCGGCCATCACGACGGCAAAACCAGCTTCCAGGTGCCAGTCGATGTGGCAGTGGAGAAACCACGCTGTGTTAAATTCGTCATCAGTTCGAATGAGGTGTAAATTGAGACCCACGTCCGCGGTTGTCCGTGAAGAAACGGATCGTCACATTGTCGCCTGTGGTTCCGATGTTGACGACGTCACGGCGGGCGGGGTTGACGTAGTTGTACGTGCTGCTTCCGGCCGAGCGGATCACATCGAAGGCATGACCGTGCAAATGGAACGGGTGCTAGAGATTCACATCATCGTTCATGGCATGAGTCTCCACAGTTAAGCGAAGAGAGGCCCACTCACGCCACCGCCTACCACGCCCCCCGCAAGCGTGATTTCCACGGACGCAAAGTGCGGAAGTGTGTACACCGAGCCCTTGGGGAGCAGTGACTGGGCGCTCTGTGCGCCAGACAGAATCTGGAGCAGCACTGGAACCGTCGGCGGAACAAAGGAGGCGCCGTTGATCTTGAATCTGAACGTCGTCTGTGTGATCATCAGCAATCAAGCTGACATATCATACGTCGAGGCAGCGCACAAAATCGAATGCCAAAGCCAGATTGAGCTGCACATCCGCACCACCGATGAATGGGCGACCAGGCGCACCGGGGTTCACGAGGGGGTGGAGATTGACTTCGTTAACCAGTCCGTTGACCGACTTGTCCTGCGAGGTCCTGGGCTCTGAAAAGCTCGCTCCAACGTCTAGGAAGAAAGTTTAATAAGAATGCAGCGGGAGAATCCAAACATGCGAACTCACAGCGAAGGATCGCAGAGTTGATTCCCCCGGCGAAACCCGTGGGACCGGTGTTCGGGTTCGCACGAATCCAGTAGTTCCCGATGGGCTGGTTGGCGGACAGGATGAACGAATATCGTTGAGCTGAAGACGTTCAGGGATTGTTCGCCGGCGCACAAGGCTGAAGCGAAGCTGACCTGCGTAGATTTGGATGGAGTCGACGGTCAACGGCTGGTGGAGGATCCCGTCAGCCTCGATGATGGTGAGATTCTTATGGCCGTCGATTTGGAACACATAGTTGGAGTCACAGGCTGTATTGACCAAACGAAATCGGTAACGTAAGCCCTGTATGACATTGATGACAGCCAGAGTCGTGTTTGAGACTGTGGCAGCGGTACGTCCAAGCCCGTTGATCAGCACGGAAGACGGGGTACTAACCATTTGAGGCATCAGAACCCACTGTGTGATTGGAGTATGCTGGTGCACTTACCCCACACCGACTACGGTCTCAGCAAAGGCGCTGTACCAGTCAGCCAGAGTGATGACCGTGGTCTCGTCGTCGATATCGTATAGGCCACGGTAAGGGTCCAGGAGATCGTAGATGACCATTGCTCCACGCAAGCCATCACAGTACTGTGTAGCAAGGTGGGAGTGATACCAAAACGTCCTGGAACAGAAAAGATCAGATGCGACAAAAATGTGGATCTGAAGTATCCCACCCCGACTGCTGGGAGGTAAAGTCATAGGTGAAAGAGTTTCCAGGAGAGATCGGACACTGATTGATGAACGAGGGCCCGTCCATGTAGTTGGTCCCGTTCTGGAACAATCCGTGCCAATGCTATGCGGAAAATGATAATAAACCGCCGGGTCGAGCAAATCGCCGGGCCAGCTCACGATAGACGTCGGCTCGAGCATGCGGTTATCCTGCTGCTGATCGATGACTGTGAGCAGGAAGTTATCCCCGACGAGGCCTGTGACGAGTGGGCCGGGGAACGTCCCCCGGCCAGCACGGCGGCACGAGGGATACCGTCCGGGGCGATGGTCGCATTGGCCACCACCAGTAGACCAATAGGTCCAATCGTGAGACCAGAGGTCATTCGAGCGATCGCCACCAGAGAAAGAAGCGCTCGGGAGGAGAACATCGCACGATGTATTTCTAAGCAGCGAAACACTGGTTCGAGTTTCCCCAGTCTCTCTATGGATCGCATTTATACGGTTTCGACAGTGAGGCCATCAAAATCTATACATACGTTTCCCCGTAGGAAGGCGGAAATCACACCACCACCTGGATGTCGCCTGGATTCCGCTTCATGGGAAATGATGACGAAGGAGAGCTGTCGTAAATATCAGAGCAGCGCTAGGAACAACTGAGACTGCCGAAGGGGGCAACTTCAGCCCTAGGAGAGCAGTCCATCTGCTCCTGGCAGACTTTGAAACTTCGCAAATGACACAACACTCGCCGTCTCGTGGTCATGGACATGACCTGGTTCCCCATTCCGCCTGTTCGCAGCCCTTCATTTCCTCCGCAATGATATCCGAGAACTATCATGGACCGCTGTTATTCGCCGCTGAGCCGACATCGTAAAATTTCCAGCCCAGAGGCAGGAACGCCGCCCGTTACGTTTGCGCCGCCGGCGCTGACGCAATGTGGGCCGTGCGGGTCAACCAGACGTGGTAGCAGGATAGCGCTCGGCTGACGGGACATGGCTCTGTGGGGCGCTCTGACGTTACGAATTCCCAATCTGATCGAGAATTACTGGGGATCGCATCTGGGTCGAGGTTGCAAGTGCATGGCAGAATCGTGGCCCGGCAGGATCCGGAAGACGATGGCAATCACCACTCCCTGCACTGCCACTTGTTCCTGTTTAGGTCCGGCGGGCATGAAGACCGAAGAAATTATTGTTTGGGTGAAGCACATGCCATGTTTGGGCTTCTTTAGTGAATAACTGTCAATTAAGCAACTTCTGGGAGGTTTCTTTTTCCGAAGTGGGTTCGATTCCGCCGCTTGCAACTCGGGTGCCCGCTCAGAACGCGATTCTCGGACCCCAACTATACATTGTCGGCCAGCGCTGCTCCAAATGAGTGGATAGAACGTTGTCTCCACTCTTTGAACTTGGCCATGTCATTCAACGGAGTCCATTCTCGCAGTTCGGCAGGAGCTACGGGGTCATGGACATCGATTTTACGAGCACCTGAGGGCGGTATTTGCCGCCCGACAGTTTTAACGTTCGCAGACACAGGCGAACAAAGCGTGTTTTGTTCTCCCACCGGCTCGAAAAGATAGATCTAGAATACGCTCGCCTATATCGAAGGTGTCTATTTGTCCTCGTCGAATACTGAGGGATTACCGGGTTGAAAAACGAAGGTCTCCTGAATACTGTCCGTCTCATGCTGAAAGCCATACAATCTGCTCACTTTGAGGAAATACCCGCGGCTCCGCGCTTGAATGTTCTCTGTCCAGCTCAGAGAAAGCACGTGTAGGCTAATTGAAAATCCGACCTAAATCAGGCCACCACTTGCGAAATGACAAACATCGTTGCCCGCTCCAATATTTGCATTATAAGAGGAAGAACAATCCTACTCACGATCTCCGAAGAGTCTTGATCGCAGCGGTACCGTATAACCGCGCACGTGTAGTGTTGTGCGGACCGAGGTCGGGCCAAAATCTTCGGGGGCTATCCGGCTTGCCAGGACCTAGGCTTTGTAGACCTTAGAGTCCGCCCATACCCGAGCCCTAGAACAGGGTCGTAACCCAGGCTGTCTCGGGCTTGAGCCCAGGACTAGCTTGCCAAAAAAAAGTTTGGGTGCATCTCAGGGCTACCGGAATAGCTCTCATATGCACTGATGAAACGGAGTCGAGAGAGTTTGAAGTTGGTCGGACAGGGATTATGTATTCATCAGATCAATCACAGAAAATTTCAGGTGTATCGTGATGGACTGTCCAACTCCAATAAAGTCCAATCTCACCACTGCCTGTGGATAAATGGTGAGAATTGCATTGATTCAACACAGCTAATTCGATTACATTTAAATAAAAGCATATCCCCGGAGATCATGACAAAAATTCAACGACATTTGACCAATTTCAAGATAAACATATGAGAAGTGTTCAAGCAGCATGAGAGGTGATCGAGGCCGGAAGCGCGTTGTAGATAGGACACAATTGGTTCCACTCCGAAGTCGGGATCAGCTGCGACTGCCAGTCGGCAACGTCCTCGGCCATCACGACTGCGAAACCGGCTTCCAAGTGCCAGTCGATGTGGCAGTGGAGGAACCACGCTGGTTGAATCAATGATCAGCCGTCCGAACACGTGGTCAATTGAGTGAGACTCACGTCCGCGGTTGTCCGTGAAGAACCGGATCGTGACATTGTCACCCGCGACTCCGATGTTCACGACATCACGGCGGGCAGGGTTGACGTAGTTGTACGTGGTGCTTCCAGCAGCGCGGATGACGTCAAAAGCGTGTCCGTGCAAATGGAACGGATGCTGTATATTCTGTGAGCTTCAAGACTCTGAGCCTCGGCGGAACAAACTGACACCACCACCAGGCGCGCCTCCTGCGAGGGTGATTTCCACCGTCGCAAAGTGTGGGAGCGCGTAGACCGAGCCAGTGGGTAGCAGCGACTGTGCGTTTTGTGCGCCAGACAAAATCTGGAGCAGGACAGGGACAGTGGGCGGAACGAATGCTACGCCGTTGATCGTGAATTTCCCTGTTGCCTGGGAAATGGATGATAAGCGATCGAACCTGAAAGATTAGAATCTTCGTCATAATGCGTACCGCATTACGTGCCAAAACCAAATTCAACTGGACATCAGCGCCACCAATGAATGCGCCACCGGGAGCACCAGGGTTGACTAAGGGATGCAAATTGACCTCGTTGATCAACCCGTTGACCGAGGTGTCTTGCGAAGTCGTGGGCTCAGACGTGCTCGCGCCTTCGTCTGGAAGTTTGATGCTCAGTAGGGAGAATATGGGCATCGCATCCCTTGTAAGACACGGACATACAGCGGAGAATCGCAGAGTTGATACCCCCGATGAAACCAGTGGGACCGTTGTTCGGGTTCGCGCGAATCCAGTAGTTGTTGACAGCTTGGTCAGCAGTCATGATGAACGAATACCGTTGGGCTTGAGGGCATGTCAGTCATCGTTTGCTTGAGCTCAGTGACCACCCACCCGCATAGATCTGAATCGAGTCGACGCTCAATGGCTCGTGGAGGATACCGTCTGCCTCGATGATGGTGAGATTCTTGTGGCCGTCGATTTGGAATACGTAGTTCGAGTCGCAAGCGGTGTTCACCAGACGGAAGCGGTAGCGCAAGCCTTGCTTGACGTTGATCACAGCCAGGGTCGTGTTCGATAGTGTAGCAGCAGTGCGTCCAAGACCGTTGATGAGCATGGAAGATGGCGTTCTGCACAGTTGGACTGTCATGATCTCATCGCATCATTCGGAACAGCTACCACTCACGCAGCACCCGTCACGGTCTCAGCGAAAACGTTGTACCAGTCGGCGAGGTTGATGACCGTGGACTCGTCGTCGACGTCGTACTCTGAAAGGTATGCGTCGTTGGGATCGTAGATGACCATCGCGCCACGCAGACCATCGCAGTATTGAGTAGCAAGGTGCGAGTGATACCAGAACGTTCTGAATCGAACACAGTCAGAATAGAGCCCAAACTCGCGCAAGAAAATGCTCACCCAGATTGTTGGGAAGTGAAATCATATGTGAACGAGTTCCCGGGCGAGATAGGACACTGATTGATGAAAGACGGCCCGTCCATGTAGTTGGTTCCGTTTTGAAACAGTCCATGCCAGTGCTGAGCAAGACACGGTCAGCAAGCGGGCCGATTAGACGAACATGAGTCCAGCGGTCAAGCTCACAATTGACGTGGGCTCGAGCATGCGGTTGTCCTGCTGCTGATCGACGACCGTGAGCTGGAAGTTGTCGCCAATGTTTCCTGTGACGAGCGGGCCAGGGAAAGTTCCTCCAGCGAGCACAGCGGCGCGGGGTATACCGTCGGGAGCGATGGTTTTGTTGGCCACTACGAAGGAGCCAATAGGCCCGACCGTAACAGCGGAGGCGATTCTCGCTGCCACAGCAAGAAAAACGAACCTTTGGAAGGAGAACATGAGAGTAAGAGAGATTTTTAGCCAAGTAACACAGGGGACTGGTGTTGGTTGTCTCCAGTCAGTTTGAGTGCAGCATTTATACCGTCTCTAGACAGTGCAATCATCACACCGTGAGATGGAATCCGTCCTTTGCTGCAAACCCGGGACCGGTCTTGACAACCTTGCACACGGCTGCCTGAACAGTGATGATGACTGAGAGGGAAGTGATCCTGATTCGAGGAAGGGCAGAACGAACAGGACATTTCGAAGGAGGCAATTTCAATTGCGAAGCAAGGCTCATGTGCGATTGACGGTCTGAAACTGAGCGGATCAGAATCAGTTCGAAAAAGAATAAAACCTACATTGTTACCGTCGAAGGGCAATGAAACTGGCTTGCTCGCGCAACCTGGCCATTTAGATACATTTATTTCTCTCCTTCTGATCTCAAGGTTCCCATCCATCTTCTCTTGGAGGCCAAGTCGAAAATGGAGAACGGGGAGGGCACAGAGCCATACGGATTGGTTTGAGCGCATGAAGATTCTGATGATTAACGTCACCAATCAGTTCTGAGAACTTGGCAGCCACCAACCCCGCAGCAAGAGACGTCATCTAGCCGAGCTATCGGATTCATCAGCTTGTAGATTTTCACAATCGATCTCAGCCGAAATTATGTTTTCCAGGAGAGTGAAATCAAAGTGTGTAGAATTCGTGCCGAGTTGTCGATGGTTTCAGAACTCTTCTTGAGTTGAGCCTTGTAAATCAACGATAGTCATGAAATTGAAACCGACATTGCTGCGTGTCTAATCTCTGACCTGTTGTGTGAAGCGAGCTGCGAAATGTCCCCGGTCACAGAGGCATATGTCCCTCCGGAATAGAGTAACACTTGGTCCAAAAACGTCATTCTCCACTCCGCAGAATAGAGAAAAGCTGGTTCGGGCTTTTTCAGGCCCTCCGAAAATAGAGTAAATTCGCTTTCGGGCCAGCAATCCTTGTGTGGAATACCTCCGGAACGCTGGAGAATCTGATAATGTCGAACTTTCCAGGCCGGCTTCCATTCAGAAGTGCCCCTCGGGTCTCAAAGACGAGAATTTCGCTGAATCGCTCATTAAAACTGATTATGAGGGTATCTAGACATATATCTGGGCCCACCGAACCCTAATCCTGCCCCCAAAAATGTATTATCCCCCTCCGAAAACGGAGCAAAGTCAGTGTCGTTGCACAAAACTTGGCGTAAACCTGAGTCGGGCCGCGGAGGGACAGATATCTGAGTGACCGGGGAGCTGCGGCGAAGAGGACCGCCAAGCCTCTTGATGAATTCCACATGGACTCGATCAGCTTCTTGTGTGAGTCCCTGTCCAAAGAGCAATTTCACGAGCTTCCTTGTCCTCCGGGTTTCATTCTACCGCCTGGAAAGACGGGACGCGATTGTCGGTGCCGAGGGAGCGAACGAAAATACACTCGAGAGCTTCTCGTCTTCCTGATTGTGGTGCAATGAACGTCGGTTCTACTGAACGAGCTCATAAGATCATCCGCCACGAGCCTATTCTCGTTGTCGGCTTAACAGCGACCGGTGCAGGATCAGATACTCTTGTTTCATGGGTGCTGCGGAGGATGTTCTCGAAGACGGAATTCTGATACACTCATCATCTCAGCGTCTTCAGTTCCGCGACTCACTCAAGTCGATGGGTGCAAACCCCGATCATCGTTGTCCGAACACGTCTTTCGGAGCATGTTCCAAGTTTAGACTGTACGGTAAAGTTTATGAAGTTGCAGAGAGTGGCTGCTGCGGTGTGAGCCCACGAGTCACAACAACGCATACCCGCGCGGGGTGCGTAAGTCGACCAATCGCTCGCCTGCAAAACTTACATCACTGTGCGTGTCAGTGTCGCGAGAGACGGCTGAGAAAGATCATGAGGCTGATCATCAAGGAAGATCCTATACCGCCGCAGCACGCTAAAACCGCTCGCGGCAATTCTCCAGCAACTCCGTGGTTCCGAGAACCGCAGCATCAGAAGTGGCGCGGATCTCACTGCTATTGGGCCGGCTATCTCACGGCCCGCGACTCGGTACCGGAGCTGCTGATCGGTAACAGACATTTGCAGGGGAAGTCCCCCAGCTGAAAGTTGAACAATCAATTGTGGCGAGGGTTTCGGGTGCTCAAAGAGCACCGGTGGTGGTAATCTCCGCCGGTGTCTGATTGTGTCTCTGGTTTGCAGCTGGCACATGGGCTATCAACGATTTAAAAAAACTGCCGGCCCAGATGCGCCGCGCCGCGCCATACAGTTTGATTGAGCGCTCACCGGACAAAGCCAGTGTTGAGTTGGTCGGTTGGCAACAACTCTACGATCTCGTTCTTACTACCCAATGAGCCAAGTTCGGGTGTTTTAGACGCGACTGAGACAACTACACCTAAGGAACATCCGCCGCGGAGGGTACCCCCCCTCCTAGGGGGGTAAAATCGACCCATTTTGACCCCCTAGTAGGGGGGGGTACCCTCCGCACTTTTGGCCATCCTCCGCACCAAAGCTCCGCAAATGGGTGCCAACCATCCGCATCTTGCCCTATAAGCAGCTGCAGATCCCTCTGCAACTTGCCCTAAACAAGCTGCGGATCCATCTGCACCCAGCTCTCCCCGTGATCATTGTGATGCCATCACACTGGTTGTGTGCAGGCTGTATCATGTGACTCTGATCCAGCGAGGAGCCCTCCGCATTTTTTGTTCTTTCATTATTTCATTTCTAGCCTCTATGCATTGCTCCACTGTAGACTTAAGCCTTCTGTAGCAGATGTATGTGCTCCCTGATGATCCCAGCTCCTCCAAGCTCCTCTGTGTGCAGCAAACAATGAATGGCAATTGAATCAATTCAGTGCTGCAGCTGTGCAGATGCTCTGCATTGATTCTGGATTGCTGAAATGGTTGCTCAAAAGCTTATTTATGTAAAACGAGCTTCTAAAAGGCTTCCAGGCTCCTTAGAACACAGATAGGTCTCTCCTGTGTACACAGCAGCTTAAAAGCATGCAGTGCGGATGCCTCTGCTGCATGCTGTCCTGGGCCAGTTTTGGGCAGGTCCTGCTGAGCACGGGGTCTGTGGACTGCTCAACCTGCACAGCATTGCCTGCAATGGTCAGTGCATCCATCCAGGCACCCCCTGTGTCCACAGCAGCTTGAAAGTGTGCAGTGTGGATGCATCTGCTGCATGCTGTTCTGGGCTAGATTGGGGCAGGCCCTGCTTAGCATGAGCTCTTTGCACTGTTCAACTCATACAATATTGCCTACTATCATTAGTACACACAGCCAGGCTCCTCCTGCATGTGCAGCAGCTAAAAAGCGTGCAATGCAGAGGCATCTGCCACCTGCTTTCCAGGATCAGATTAGGGCATTGGGGCAGGTCCTGCTCAGCATAGGTTATGCAGACTGTTCAACCTGTACACTGTTGCCTGCCATGGTCGGTGCATGCACAATGGCCCTTCCTGCATTGTCAGCAGCTTGAAAGCATGCAGCGCAGATACATCCGCAGCCTGCTTCTCTAGGTCGGATCAGGGCATCAATGGTATTTGAACCATCCGCACAAGCATCCGCAGCAGCTAATAAGATGGTTGCAGATGCATCCGCAGATATTTTCAGAGATACAGCTGCTCAATATGGCCTCAATGGGGGTCCTCTGTCTCTGCAGCATGGATCTAAGACATCTCATTTGCTACCTGCTCACCCATAGTGCTATCAACACTAGGAAATTTATAGGTCCTAGGTAGGATTTTATATTCTTTGCACCATAATTGTTGCTTATACACAGTTTGGATAGGCTCATCTGTCCCACCAAGGAGTCAAAACATATTAGAGATAAGTAAGAAGCTAGTAGATACCTGACCTAGAAAGAGCCTATCTGTACAATAAAAAAAAAGTGGATTGAGCATAGGTCATATTTCAAGCTCTACACATTCATACATGCCTTAAAATTCAAGGACCACAACTGTAAAGCACACTATCCAATGTTTCAAGCTCAAAGAAGTTGCTTGGACCAAAAATATTTTCGATTTTGGTCAATGAGCAAGGATAGCTTGGTACTACCATAGGAAACTCTGTTCAGGTCATGGCACTTTTATACATGACAAAAAAAGTTCCTTCAGAGAGCTGAATTGATTTCATATTCGAGATGGGGCATATCTGAATAGCATCTGAACAAATTCTGAGCAGGATCGCAGCATCATAGCCCTCTCAGGAACAAAATATTGGAAAGTCAACCTTCGATTTTACCCCCCTAGGAGGGGGGGTACCCTCCGCGGCGGATGTTCCTTAGGTGGACAACTATTGGTGCCTGGTCGCTGCAAGCACGTCATTGACTTCGCGATTCAGATCAGAGAGAGCTTTCAGATATGAGGTATTTGGACGTTATTTTGATCCCAATCCATCATGCCAGCTAGTGCTGTCCAGATACAGATACGATACAAATTTGCCATATCGTATTTTTATTGTATCGTATTAAGGGTTCTCAGGACATATTATATCTGTAATGTATCATATTGTATTTATCGCGGTGTATCAGATTATATCTATGATATATCACGATATCTTTACTGTCAGTTTATTTACTGTGCATACGAATAAAATCAGTGTAATGGAGACCCTCATTCAGCCCAGACTTGATCCATTCCTTTGTACTGACACTCATGGCAATCTTCTCGGGAGTCATAGACATCCGAGACTCCTTCAGAGTGTGACGGAGGCTCAAAAAGAGGCGTTCAACAGAGATACTGACTCCGGGAATGCCGAGGATATCACGCGCAGCACGCGCAAGACCTTTGAGTGTAACGGCCTGGTCCTGAAAACTGGTCAGAGATGACATCCAGGGCAACTGATGATGAGCTCAATTACCTTCCACCATCCGAGTGGATCATCAAACATGTCCGCGACAGGTGAGATGCCTCCGAAATAAAGCTCTATCTCTGCACTGGCATCAAGTGAAGCGACACCTCCAGTCCTGGAGCCCATGGTTGCTGCCAGACCGAAGACACTGCGGGTAGGAGCAGCCTCTGCAACCAAAGCCGTATCAGAGGTTGGAATCTCTGCCAGATACCTCTGTACAATTTCGACGAGGATCTTTTTCGCTCTGTTGGCAACACTGGGGTCCCAATTGCTGTTTTGGAAGAAGCGGAGACGTAACGCAGGGTGCAAAACTGACAAGCAATCAGAGGCGGAAACAGAGACAGTATCCCACTTACGGGTTGCCAACATTGGGTAATCACCTTCGAGAGCTTTGTTGATGTATTTTGTCGCCATTTTTGAGCCAGCGAGGAGAGCAGCGGAGAGGTTGGGAATAGAACAAAGTTCCTTCGACTTTGCCTCAAGATCGGTCTCCATCAGCTTATAAAACGGAAGAACTTTCGGGAGGGTTGGGACCGTTTTGAGAGAGAACTCTTTGGTGATGAGCTCGAGAATCTGAGTATAAGTCAGCTCAGAGCTCTCGCACAACTATAACGTACCTCAAGAGCTTTGATTAGTTGTTCAACAAACTCCCAGTCGGTGGAGTCCTGTAACGGAAGCGTCTAGACTGAGATGAGTTCCGCTACAAGGAGGAGGGGGGAGACGACAGTGAGAGGGATAAGCACTAGATTGACCAAGGAAAAAGGGAAAAAAAGGAGCTATCTACTTATATAGGGTGATCGGCGGTCAAAGCCAGCCGATCGAGGACTCAGTCTGAGAGATAAATCACATGACCTCTGTAACGGGACGTTCCCGCTACATACGCCCTCCAGCTCAACGCTGGCGGTGAGCTCACAGTCCATTAAAAATTCTCTTACCAGTTCAATAACAAGTCCGAGATGGCGTCGAATCCATCCACGGAAGTAAATGTCAATTAAATCAGTCAAGTGTCAATCAGAAAAAATCAATCAATGTCAATCACACGTCATTCTTGTATCCGCCCGCCCTCCTCGACGACTGACGGACTTCATTCATCATCAAACGATTCTTTCACAGTTTCAGTGGTCTCAGCAAGCGAGATATCGATTGCGTGTGAAGCAATACCCGGCGGTTTCCCGGGATTCTCCGACTTCATTCCACTCACATCGGGGCAGTTTCGAGACAAGTGCCCGCGTTCTCCACACTCGAAGCAGCGTCCCTCGCTCAGGTACGTAGCTCGAGTCTTGGCAGACAACTTTTTGCCGTCACGCGTCACGTAATCCCATGTCTTTTCGTGCTGGTTCTTCTTTGGAGTTTCGACAGCAGCACTTGACACCGATAGAGCTCGCCCTCCGTTGCGGCGCTTCTCGTTTGAATCCGTAGCCAAGTTTTCTTTCTTCCACTTGGGCTGAGGTTTCGGCGCCTCAGTCTCATCACTGTCGGCATCCTCAAGGTCAAGATTCACGATTACCTCAGCAGCTTCAGCACCGCGAGTAACCTCATCCCAAGTCGACATTTCGGGATCCAAATTCGCGCGGAACATTTCCTTGCGAATCGACGTCTTCAAGCTGCGACAAAACATCACGACTTTCTCCTGGTTTGCTTCCAGACCAATCGTATTGAAGATCTGCTCCCACTCGGCCTTATGGACCAATACAGATTTGTCATCTTGCTTGCACGCGTTTAACTTCGACCGCTGTTTCTCACGGAAGTTCACAGGGAAACAGAAGTTGAATAGACCCCAGAAGAAGTCTGATAACGTCCAGGTATGTTCATCATTTTCCACGCGACTGTTATAGAACTCTCGTGCATGGCCAGACATGAAATACGACAAATAGAACGCTCGTTCATCAGCGGGGACGCGGCCGAGCTTTAGGTAAGCTGTTCCCTCTTTCACAAATCGGTGGAACGCTACCGCATTAGGAGATCCGTCGTACTCCTTCGGCGGAATTGGCTTCAAGATCATTTTCGGTTCGTTTACTGAGACGTTCACAGTCTCTCCTTGCCTGGAACGACGTGGCACTGGTGTCGGGCTCCGACTTCCGACATCCGAGGGATTGCTGGACGGCGGCTCGGATGGAGGGGGTCCGCCAAAGCTATCGACGTTGCGCAACGCACGCTCAATGAAGCTTCCTGCCCCGGTACGAGTTGCAGGAGTCCTCTCACGTGCGTCTGTCTGGGTGTGCGTCGGCGGCACACCAATGCTGATATGACGGTCGATGCTGTTCTTCACAGCGGTCTGGGCCTGGGACAAGCTTTCACCTTGCTTGTTCTCGGCATTCAGCATCTTAACGGGCGTCGAGGCCCGAGATTCCGTCACAGCTCTATGCAGGCTGTCAATTTGGCGCTGCAAGTCCACAAAATGTTCTTCAACGCCCTGGTCATCGTGCCCAGAGGCGTTTACACTATGCATCTTCAAATTCCGCTCCGACAAGATGGTGGTCGGAGATCTGCGGCTGTCATGCCGAACCGAGACAGACGGCGGCAAGTAACTGTCCTCGTGCTTCATGCGTCTGATCTCATCAAAATTCGCGAACGCAGCACGCTGAGTGTCAAGATCATGCTCAGAGAATCGGTCCGACAGACCTCCCCAGTTACGAGGATCAGGACCCTTGTCCTTCGAAGGGTATGATGGACCAGTACCCGATGGGAAGGCAGGACGGGCCCCGACTGGGGACAGGTAGGTCGACTCAAACATGGGAGGGAAGGACGAAGACATCGCAGGGAACGTCTCACCAGTCACTAATTGTTCATTAAAGTTGGTAATTCCATGATCTAAACGAGCGAAATCGATACCATCGTACGGATCCTGTTCACTGCGCTGTGAACTAAGATCACGATCTGCAGCCGCAGCTAAAGCTTCCTGCGCAATAGCCTGGTGGCGACGCGCAAAGCTTACCAATTCCGTGACGCTCATGCCTTGCATGGCGCGCGACATGGTTGTGGAAGTCTGTGAAGCGACGGTTTCTCGGTCGCTGACAGATTGATCCTGACTAACCAATGAACGAATCACCGGAACGGTGGATCCACTGTGCTGATGAGCTTCGAACTGGCTCTCAGCAGCAGTATCCAAATCGATCAAGGAGTTCTCTCGTCCATAGGACGGCTTCTCCGGCAGAGCCGGGCTGTCTCGTGCCAACTGGGATAAACCCACTCGCGTCGGCACGGCTGGGGATGCAAACATCCCAGGGAGATGCGAGATTTCAGGGGCTGAGGCTGGAAGGGAAGGATGCCCCTCTAGCTCGGATCGTGGCGTGCCGCTCTGTCTTGAGCGGACACTCAGGGGTCTGGCGGCGTCCGATGCTGTCGGTCGTCCAGTCATGGAGACAGTGTCGGAGGGAGCAAGCACAGTGGGCACATCGGGTTCGAGGTCTGGGTGCCCGCGTCGGGACTTTGGGTGGAATCGGTGGTGCATGCCGCCAGACATCATTTGGGGTCAGGGGTAGTCAGTCGTCGAGCGCCAGTTCGAGGGAGGGAGGGTTCGGCGCAGCGACGAATCTAGCAGGTGGAGCTCTCAAAAATATGTAACGGAAGGGTCTAGACCGAGATGAGTTCCGCTACAAGGAGGAGGGGGGAGACGACAGTGAGAGGGATAAGCACTAGATTGACCAAGGAAAAAGGGAAAAAAAGGAGCTATCTACTTATATAGGGTGATCGGCGGTCAAAGCCAGCCGATCGAGGACTCAGTCTGAGAGATAAATCACATGACCTCTGTAACGGGACGTTCCCGCTACAAGTCCATTCTCCACTTCTTGATTTTGCGTTGGGCTGCCGCGAGTGCCTTTCCAGTGAAGCCATCACCCATGCGCTCCACGAAATAATCAAACACCTAAAAAAATAAGATCAGGATAGCTTGTGCAAGCAAGGACTCACCGCTCGAAGCAGGTAAGCCCGCCGGAGCTCAGCCAAACGGGTGTTCCAGCGAACCCGCATGCTTCGAACAAATACAAGGTGTCGGTACTTCCGTTGTACCTTTCGACGGATGAATCTACGGTCTTTTTTGCGTCGAATTTCCGAACAGAGAATGTAAACGGCTGCTGAATGAATCTAGAAGACTGTCAGCAATGCAGTACAGTGAGAGGTGTGTGAATAATAAAACCTTATCAACTGGCGTGAAAACGCGCTTGTTTTTCGCTTTCTTTGATGCTCCACGGACAGTCCCGTTCTCCTCATCCTCCCATTCCTCTTCGCTTTCGAGCTCAGATGTAGACTCATCCTCTAACTCGATCTGCTCATCCTCGCTATCGCACTCATCCGGATCAACCCCCGCCATAGTCTCCTGCTCCATCACTCGCTGTTCCTCGAGAGCTACTGGATCCTGTTCAATGTCGTAGAAGAGTGGTTCGGAACGGATCTCATCATAGAGATCTTCGACCTCGGGGGCCACACAGAGTCCAAGAACGGAGTCGATTTTTCTGTCAGGATATCAATGATAAAATCAGTGGACATGGAAACACATACTGAGCAACAAGGTTTGTTACGTGACCCCCACATCCGATCTGGAAATTCCGGGTCTCCAAGGACATGGTAAAATCCGGAAGGGCCTTGCAGCAACGACGAACAACTTCCTCGTTCATGGGACCGTTGCTTGACGCATTGTTGGCCGCGGAAGCAACTGTAAGTAGCCGTGAAGTGAGGATACAACTCCAGGCTGACTCGACTCACTCATTTTGGTCACAATCCCGGCACGGTGAAGGTGTTTGTAGATTAGTCGGCCGACGGTCTTCCCCGAATGATCGCCATTGAGTGGGATCAGATCCAGTACATATTCGTGGCGGACCCAGTCCTTATCGATGAAGGACACAACAATACCGCAAAATGAATGGACCATTCCCCGTGTTGTCACAATGTCGGAAGCAATGCTGATTTGTGAATCGTTTTCCTGAGGAATAAATTAGAACTTGTAACGAAGCAAAAAAAAATAGAACCTATACCTGCAGCATGAGATGTAATTTTTTCGCCAAGGCTTTATGAAGCGATTCGACATCACGGCTGATAGTTTGATGAGAGATTGTGGCCGGAATATTCTCAGGAAGTATGTATTCAAGTAAGCGCTGCATGCCGGGCTTCTCGGTGAAAGAATAGACCATGTCGTCAGTGACAGCAGCAACAACGACACGCTCGCGATAGCCAGGCTTCGTGACCTTGGCCTTTGACTGGCTTTCAGGCTGCTCACGGCCTCGCTGAAGAAACGCGGTCATGATCTTGTTTGTCTGGTCGCTTGCGGTGACATCCGAAGCTGGCATAGTGCCGCTGTTGCGAGCGATTGACTGAAAAGTCTCGAAGGATTGATTAACCGGGTGTCGCGTGCATTCCAGAGCATGTGAGATCCAGTTGCTGGGAGTTGAGAGCGGAAGGGTCTCATCAGCAAAGCTCTGGACACCCTTGGTGCGCAGTGTTGTGCGATACTTGCTAAAGTGTTGTGAGTTTCAAAGAATAGAGACTAAGATTAAAGACGCACTTGCAATACCGACAGAAAACCTTCCACACTCGTTTCTCGCCCTTCTGCACCGACTTGGCTTCCTTAGTGAGATATTGGGACAGTGCCCAAGTAAGTTTGTTGCTTGTCCGAGCTGGACTGTTGTCATCCTCGTCCTCGGAGCTGGAGGATGACTTCGAGGACATCAATGGTCCGCCAGCAATGATCAATGAGGCACTCACGGAGTCCACCACAACCGTCTTCTTTTTAGCTGCCTTCTTTTTAGCTGGTGCTTTTTTAGCTGGCGCCTGTGTCGTCTCGTTCGATGTGTCATCATTTGACGCGTCCGGGGACTAGAACCCACCATAAGGATCCCCGAATAATATCAGCCGTATCCACATACCTTGGTGCGGTGCTTTTTACGCTGTTTTTGGTGGTTTGGGAAGCGGTTGCGGGTTCGTGTGCGTCTAAATTAATGACCTTGTGAGTCTCCTGCCCGGAATCCTTCTTCTTGCGCTTCTTGCTTTCACCGGTTGGAAGCTGATTTGATCAGACTCGATCAAGAGCACAAATCTGAGGGCACTCGCACCTCAGCTTCGGTCGCATCTCCATCTTCCTGCAAGACGCTGTCTTTGCTGTGTCCCAGATTGTGGTTCTCTGAGACGTCTGATATGTGCGCTTTCAAACTAGAAATCACAGTGAGTGAGCACATTAAATCCGGATCCGTATGACACTCACGCAGCACTAATCAAATCAAGAAGCTGATCTACGCGAAGCTGGATCATCTTCACATCCATGTCTTGGACCAACGATGCGTAATGCTTGGCCCAGTTATGAGCCAAAATCAACCCATACTTCCCTTGGCAAACAAGAGGGAAGAGTGATGAGCAATCACGGCCTGGAGGAATGCGAAACGCGCGTTCCCATCCAATATTGAAGGCTTTGTATGGACCCTCTTCATCCTCGGGATATCGTGGTGTGCCGGGTTGTCGAGGGAGGCCCAGAGATGTTGTCCGAGTGGCCCTGTCCGCGCACCAGCTAAGCGGCCATCTGGCAGTCTAGAGATAGCTTCGGCGAGCTTGACAAGCGAGGCTTCCATGGCTGCGGGAAAAGCGGGAGAAGTTGTGTCGACAGATTGACAGGTTCTGTCAATTTTTTAGGTCACGCTCACACTTCTTCAGATCACGGATGACTGACAAATCCAGATCTCCCCAAAAGATCTGCAGGATCAGATAAGATTAAACAATAAGATATCGTGATATATCACGATATGGTGGGCACGTATTATAATGTATTAGTATCATATCATATTATATCAAGGAATATTGTATCCAGCGCACCACCTGGAGCCCGTATCATATCAGTATGAAACAATATATCAGATGATATATTGTTTCCGTATATAATTTTGGACAGCACTAATGCCAGCACATGCTCCTCACAAATATGCCTCTAGGCTCTCTGCCAAAATGCTCTGGATTCAATTGAAACAGTGAAATCAATCCAAGAAACAGTCCACTGCATGTATACTACAAGTGCACACTCGTTGAAAAATAAGCGCTAGTTATGATCTACTTGCACCCATAATGGGCCATGCCCTCTCATCCCAGTCCAGATGGGTCCAGATGGGTCCAGATCTGACAATCAATAATTCGATCAACCATGGGACACTAAATCAAATGTTTCGGAAACTCCCACCCCAGGTTGTCTTTTATGGCTCTGGAACTTGCTGCTTTCTGCAGTTGTTTAGATGGAACCAAGCAGAATGTCACATTTCAGTCTTGCAATCAACTACACTGCAATTCATCATCCAGATTGCCCCATTTGTCATTTGAACATGCCCTGCTGACACAGGGGCAGGAGCAGTTACCACCTATCCTTGTTACCCTCCAGTTTCCACACATCCCTTGATTCTTCATGGACAGTCATGCTCACAGGACCTAAAAACCTGAATATTGTGTTTGTGGGGAAATTGTGTGAGTGCCTTCGCAATGAAAGCCTTATTACAAGCACTATTTTGTGTGAGAATACAAATACAAGAAAATTTCCATCCATTCGGTGCAGATGTACTCCCGAAATCACGTGCATAGATGTTCAACCAGCCACGTGCCCGTCACACCCAACATGCACAGTTGGAATTCAAGTCAGCCTCGGGATCATCTTCAAGAGTACCATCGATTCAAAACAGAAAATTAACCGAACCAACTGATATCATTCAAGTATGAAGAGATAATGTTAAACATATTTTACATATTTCAAATAATTAGGCCGCGAGGGACGTGATCGAGGCTGGAAGCGCGTTGTAGATGGGGCACAGCTGGTTCCACTCGGCAGTGGGGATCAGCTCCGACTTCCAGTCAGGCACATCCTCAGCAAACACAATAGCAAAGCCAGCCTCCAGATGCCAGTCGATGTGGCAGTGGAGGAACCATGCTGGTGGAATCATTCATTAGTGGTTCAATGAGTCACAAATGTCGACTCACGTCCGCGGTTGTCAGTGAAGAAACGGATGGTAACATTGTCGCCTGCCCCTCCGATGTTCACGACGTCTCGTCGAGCCGGGTTGACGTAGTTGTATGTGGTGCTGCCGGCGGACCGGATGACATCGAAGGCGTGTCCGTGCAAGTGGAAGGGATGCTGTTCACTCGGTCAGCTTTCAGTCCACGAGGATGATGAACTAGAAACTGACGCCGCCAACAACCACACCTCCTGCTAAGGTGACCTCAACCGACGCAAAGTGCGGGAGCGTATAGACTGAGCCGTTTGGCAGCAGCGACTGGGCGTTCTGTGCGCCTGACAGAATTTGGAGCAGGACGGGAACAGTAGGTGGGACGAATGCCACGCCGTTGATCGTAAATTTGAAGGTTGTCTATCAGACATTCAGGACGAAGTGGGTGCATCGAAGCTCATTCAACTCACCAAATCAAACGCCAAAGCTAGATTGAGCTGTACGTCGGCACCGCCAATGAACGCACCACCGGGAGCACCGGGGTCAACGAGCGGGTGCAGGTTTACCTCATTGACCATCCATTGACCGACGTGTCTTGCGAAGTTGTTGGTTCAGAATTGTTCGCTCCGATATCTGGAAATATGATGCTCAGAACGGGACACGCAGATCCCTCGTGAGATGCAGACATACAGCGAAGAATCGCGGAGTTGATACCCCGGCGAAACCAGTGGGGCCGTTGTTCGGGTTCGCACGAATCCAGTAGTTGCCGATGGGCTATTGGCAGTCAAGATGAACGAATAACGTTGCGCTTGAGACATTTGGTGACTGCTCGCAGGCACGGAATTGCTGAATCGCCCTTACCTGCGTAAATTTGAATGGAATCAACGCTCAACGGCTGATGGAGGATCCCGTCCGCTTCGATGATGGTCAGGTTCTTGTGTCGTCGATCTGGAAGACGTAGTTGGAGTCGCAAGCAAGGTTGACCAAACGGAAGCGGTAGCGCAAGCCCTTTTTGACGGTGATCACAGCCAGAGTCGTGTTGGAGGACTGTGGCAGCGGTACGTCCAAGGCCGTTGATGAGCATAGATGACGGGGTCCTGTCCAATGGAGGCATCAGAATATTATGGAGGAATTCGAGCCAATCCTTGCACTCACGCGACACCGACCACAGTCTCTGCAAAGACGTTTACCAGTCGCTCAAGTGATCACTGTCGACTCGTCGTCGACGTCGTAAGCATGGAGGTATGCGTCCTTGGGATCGTAGATGACCATCGCGCCACGCAGACCATCGCAGTACTGAGTGGCGAGGTGTGAGTGATACCAGAATGTTCTGAATCGAACGCAGTCAGAATGGAACCGAAACTTCGGTAAAAAAAAAATGCTCACCCAGATTGTTGGGAAGTGAAATCATATGTGAACGAGTTCCCGGGCGAGATCGGACACTGATTGATGAACGACGGCCCGTCCATGTAGTTGGTCCCATTCTGGAACAATCCATGCCAATGCTGCGCGAACAATCACAATCAACAATGCGAGTCGCGACAAACGTCTGCTCCGCTCACAATGGAGGTCGGTTCGAGCATCCGAATGTCCTTTTGCTGATCGATGACCGTGAGCCGGAAGTTGTCCCCGATGCGTCCCTGACGAGGGGACCAGGGAATGTTCCCCAGCAAGGACGGCAGCGCGAGGGACCCGTCAGGAGCAATGGTCTTGTTGGCGACGACGAATGAACCAACGGGCCCAATCGCTAACCCAGCGGTCAGACGAACTGACGCAGCCAGGGAGAAGAAGGGTCCAAGAAGTGAACATCTTGAGAGGGATTACGGCGGAAGAAACACCAGGATCGGTGTTGGGCTCCCAGTGAGTTTGTGGCCTACATTTATACTGCTCGACAAAGCAGCCATCAACCCGTGAAAATCCGTCTCCTGCAAGAAGTCGAGAATGAAAATCAACATCTGCATGGGGCTGCACGGAAGTGAGGATGACTGAAAGCTTTGGCGTACAGATTCGAACAGCGCCCAAAACAGCAGAGGTCGCCGAAGGGAGAAACGTCAACCATGGGTAGCGAACGACATCTGACATTCCAGACTCTGAAACATCGCCGATGCATCCTTACCAAGTTAGAGCGAAGAGAGATGCACTCGTCCCTTTGCGCTGATGCGACTCATTCTGGCCGTCTATAGAATGTTCATTCTTCCCACACTAAATTCGGATGTTACCGTCGACCTTGCATAGCCGGTGCCAAGAAAAACATGACAGTCACAGCGCACAGGCAGGGACACCGACCGTGCCTTTGCGTGGCCGGTGCTGACGCAATGTAAGCCGCAGGTCTGGACCGCGTGATAGCAGACGATCGATCGTGATTTAGTTAACATGATTTCTTTTGGTCTCCGTCGTCCAAGTTCGACAGTTCAACTCCGGAATGACCGGTCCAAGCTCCAACGGGTAGTCTCAATCGCGTAGGAAAATTTTCCGCTGCATCGAGTACTCGCTAATGATAGTGACAAAAACATTGACAAAACATGAGCGGTCATTACTGCTGCACTGCCTCTGATCTCGCCGAGGAGCGACCACGGACACGACAGGTTTGTTGTTTCGGCTTGCACATGGACCGGATGAGCTTCTTCTGCGAATCCGTGTCAAGTGAGCAACTTCAGCGAGCTTCCTTTGCCAGAATCGGTGTTGACTCCGCCGCTTATCAAACCTCCGCTGGCTGGGAACCCGATTGTCGGGAACGGTCATGTATCTCCTTCGAAATCTGTCGTTCCAGCTCTTGTCTCCCGCAGTATCACTCAGCTCCTAACAAGAATCGCTGAGTCAAGTATTTTTTATTCAACGGCTACCTTCGGGCGGTGTAGGTCACAAAAAGATCCCCGCGCTGACTTCTGTTCTGCCACTCAATCGGGGCCCAGATCTACAATCCGTTCGCCGACGTCGAAACTGTGCTTTTGACCTGTTCAAGTACTCAGCTGTAGGTCATTCTTGCAGTGGGTGGGAGATCGTTCCAGTTGAGCAGTGAGTCTACTGAAAACATCGATAGCGTATAATATTCCCAACTACTCACAGCTCCGCGGGCTGAATGTTGTTGTGTCGCAGACAATACCGCGCAGTGGAGATACGACCAGTAGCGATCACCTAGAAGGACAGAGTCTCAGCGAGTGTAGAGACACAGGAGCTATATCATTAGCTGTACCTAGAAGACAGAGTCTATGGTACAAGTCATAAGTAAGGTCATTAGATCGTAAGAGAGAATGCATACCTCAGCGAGTGTAGAGACACAGGAGCTGAGGATATGGAGCGTATAGTACTAGGTTTATATACCAGTCTGGAGCAGATATCATGATGTCATAGTGGAGTAATGATATCATAGATGAGTAATGGATGACGCAATAATGAGGTCAGGTATGAGGTCATTGTGGAGCGAGCCAAAGTAATCTAAGAATACTACTTATGATGTCATGTCTACATACTGTGATAGTCGCTAATACAAACAAGCTTCAACACTCCCACTCGACTAAACAGTCGGATCACGAAGACCCAAAGACAGCCGATGGTTGTTGGAACTTCACCCATGCCAAAGACTTTGTGAGCGTGTCTGAGATCATCGCATCAGCACATGGTAAAGTTGGACATTGCCAGCTTCGACGGATTCTCGTACGAAGTGATAGCGGATGTCGATGTGCTTCGTCCTCCTATCATGAACTGGATTTACTGCCATGAAAATAGCGCCTTGGTTATCAACACAAAGAGGCGTGGATGGCAAGTCATATCCGAGCTCAGTCAACAAAGTGCGGATCCAGGCAATCTGGCGCGTAGCATCGCTCAGAGCCATGTATTCGGCCTCTGTTGAGGACAAAGCGACCGTGGGTTGGCGTCTAGAAACCCAGGTCACTGCACAACCGGCGATGAAGAAGGAATATCCCGTGGTTGAATGCCTGTCGTCTTTGTTCTCGCCCAATCAGCATCGGAATAACCGATAAGGCCTGCGCCAGTGGAACCATCATAGCAAAGTTGGTAGTTTTGGTGCCCTGAAGGTACCGGAGTATGTATTTTGCCATGTTCCAATGATGTTCTGACGGGTTGCTGTTGAACTTTGATAGACGGATGACTGCATAGGCAATGTCGGGCGAGTACCAAGCATGGCGTATAGAAGGCTGCCAATCAGTTGCTGGTATCGGGTACGACGGTCTTCATCAACTTCTCCATCATGCTTCTCGAGCACGATGCCGGAAGGCAGGGGAGTACGAGCTTCTTTACACGAAGACATCCGGAATCGTTCTAGAACTCCTTCGATATAGGAAGCCTGATCGATCCAGATTTTACGCGCTTTGCGATCACGAACTATGTTCAGACCAAGGAATCCTTTGCAGGACCAAGATCTGTCATTTTGAAGCGGTTCGCGAGCAATGATTTGATCCGCGCTATCTCCGGCAGATTGTTGCCCTAATGAGCATATCGTCAACATACAGCACCAAGATGATGACCGTATCTCCATTTGTTGGCGATATGTGTAGACACCGGCGTGGAGTATGTCCGAGCAAAACCAAGTTCGAGGAGGGCATTGTGGATTTGATATTCCACTGACGAGACGCCTGTTTCAACCCATAGAGTGATTTACGAAGGCGTGCCACCTTTTCTTTTGGCCATGACGAGAAACCTTGGGTAATTCCGGAAGTTCCATATAGATTTCTTCCTCCAGATCCCGTTTAGGAATGCCGTTTTGACATCCATGGCATGAATCTCCCAATCTTCGAGAGCAGCCAGAGCCATAAGTATGCGCAGAGATTCATAGCGCAATACTGGCGAGAAGGTCTCATCATAGTCAAACCCATGAACCTGAGTAAATACTTGGCAACAAGTCGTGCTTTGAACGACCGTCACGCTTCCTCTAAACACCCATCTGCATTTGACAGTCTTTCGACCGCGTGGAAGGTTGGTCAAATCCCAAGTACAGTTTTCCTCGAGAGAGTCCAGTTCTTCGCGCATTGCGCGCTCCCACTTGAGTGCATCCGGGCTCTTGCTACGTCCCGCACGTTCTGAGGCAAGTCATGCTCAGCTTGGGCAGCTGACAACATAGACTCAATGCTGCTAGGCCTCTGATACGTAGTTCCATCCGGCAAAATGCGGGGCTTATTTCGACGAGGGCGGCGATGTGCAATCGGGCGATCGTCTATCGGGCCAGGCATTAGGGGTACTTCTCGCGATCCCGGGACAGGACCTTGTTGCGCGAGGGGGCCGGGGGCGGTGGAAGAAGCAGGGGTGGTACACTGCATAAGGCGTTGCAGGCGCAGGATTATTGATAAGGTCAGGGAAGGTTTCCTCGATGGTCTGTGAACGGCTCCGGTCCAGAGGACACATGCCCGGTGACTAGATGGACTTGGCAGGGAATACTCGCTCATCGAACTCATTTGAAGAGACTCGTATCTTGCGTGATTCGGATCCCACACTTTCCAAGCTTTTGTCTCTCGTTCGTATCCAACGAAGATGTGGTCGGGGCGTCCATGCTCCAAACCTTTCGGGCGTTTTTCAACATCCACATAGAGAGACGGCCTTGCATCCAACACACGGAAATAAGAGACGTCTGGCTTCTTTCCAAGCCACAGTTCCGCAGGTGTTCGCCATCCCAATCGTGCCATAGGTTGTCTATTATGAACGTGGACAGATGCATCCATAGCACATTGCCAGAAGCCTTTGGATAGGCGGCATCGAGGCGCATGCATTCCGCTTTCTCGTAGGCTGTGCGATTCCAACGTTCAGACCTCCCATTTTGCTGTGGTTCGCGTGGCGCGGACTTAGGGTGCTAATACCACGTGCATTGAGCAGGCTGTGAGTTCATCGGACATATATTCGCCTCCACGATCTGACCGGAAGGCCAGTACTTTTGTGCCAAGGACGCTCTGTAAGGGCAACAAAGTTTTTAATCGCAGTAGAGGCTGGTCCTTTGATTTAATGAACACCATCATGCCAAAGCTCGAGAAATCGTCGTAGAACGAAATTGTGTAGCGTGAACCTTCCAACGGACTGAGTAGGCCAGGGGCCCATCAAATCAGTGTGGATAAGCTCGAGGGGTTTGCTAGCACGTTTCTCTGATGCAGGGTACGGATGCTTGTGCTGTTTTCCAAGCATACATCCATCGCACATGCCGCGCTGGTCTTTATTGCGTCGCAAGGGGGGAACACCTTCAACTTGTGTCGGCAAGTGAGTAAGGGTCCTCCGAGCCGCATGACCAAAACGCTTATGCCACAATTCACGATCGGTAGTTTCCAGGGAAGCGAGCGCGGTAGACTCGTGAGATGCAGACACAGATGGTGCCACGAGCTCCTCGGGGTAGTACCAGTAGCAGCGATTGCTGCTTTAAAGGTCATCAAGACATCCCTATGCGCTTTTCCCTTGTTGAGCCAATCTTGGTGACTAGGATTGCTTGTTGTCACCAACCACGGTGTAGTAACCAGCCTGATCGAGCGCATACCAGAAGGTAACGCCCTCTTATGTGCGGGTTGTAGATGACATCCTTCAGCGTGAAGGTGTAGTCGATGCACATAACTAGTATGACCCCGCAACACAATATCTCCAACGGCTTCATTCTTGAAGCGAGCTCCCGACCCAACGATTACATAGGTGTCGATAGGTCTGATGTTGTAAGATCAGATCGGGTGTTTGTCATATGATGCGTACAACCCGAGTCCCATAGAAAACGAATTTTGGAGTCGTCTCCATTTCTTCAACAAAATTCCATCATCGAGTGTTTGAGGGAGTCACTCATGAGATAGGACGAAATGTGCATTCCATTGGAGGCAGCTGCAACCGCGGGAGCGGCTACAACTTCTTTACAGCGCTAGTACCATCACCGCTTTCTTT